TAGCCTCGTAATCAGGGGATTTGCAGTTTTATCACTAGTGATAAGTATTCCGGTATACTTTAATGTAATGAGTGATATTCTAAAAGATGTATCAAGTATGCTGTTCCGATTTTCAGTGACAGGACTGCGATTCACTCTCTGGCTCATTGCCATTGAGGCCTATCCTACAGTGCTCAAAGGGACAGTTTCAGGGTTTACTCACGCATTTGGAGAGGCAGGGGGAGCAATCGGTGCTTTACTAACATATGAATTATATCCGGTGAGTTCCATATCCGTGGTTGCCTTATTTGTAGGTATTGCGGTGGTGCAACTAGTTGCCTCATTTCTTTGGAGGACAGAAATTGATCATAGTGACGAGTATTCTGCTGCTGACGAATCAGACTCAGAGGAAACGCATTAGCTTCATCTCGAAGATTATAAAAAAACCGTTAGAAATGTCATTCAATTGAATTTATAAAGCTGTACATGAATGTACGATTGAGTATAAAATAGAATTTGTGTAGTTTTATACACAGTTATACAATTAACAAAACCGTAATCGTCATGTTTAATTTGAAATGATCAACTGCAACCCCGCTATTCGCTGTCTAAAGTGTATCTTGTATAACTGTCACAGCAAAAATCGCCTCCTCCTCGATCCTCCTCCTCCTCCTCGATCCTCCTTCTCCAGTCATGCACTAAACTATCATATAGCTATTATTTTTAAGCTAGGCGCGAATTTGCACAAAGCAAGAATAATTGTTTGCGCACTGCGCAGCCCGGCGGGTCGACCGAAGCTGCGACACTGCCGACTGGCGACGTCCTCCAAAAATTGAAAATGTTTTGTAGGTTTATAAACTACAAAAACATGCATCGAGTTGGACTCGTGATTGTCCGCGTCGATCGACGGTATTATTTATTTGGAACAAATATTTTACAAGTATTACCCGTTAAAAATGTTACGTTGGGAGTCCCGAGTCCTAGTCCTTATCATGTTCCTATAACATATAAGAAAATGCCGCAAGATTGCTATCTGCACGTGTTTTACCTGGGGACCTCAGGCTGTCATGTTCATTGACAATAGAGATTCGGCGGAATGACAGGCTGAGCGCGGCCCAGTATCACGTGTTCATGTTACAATATATTACATATTAAGTGTTTTAGCTTTAAAGCTTTAAATATTGTTGCAATTTTCAAATTTCTTGACGTACTCCAAATCCACAGCCCTGTTTGAGATATTGTATGTAGCTATGCCTAGAGTTCAAAATTCCTTACTGGGTCTGCAGGGCGAATCTGATCAGCCTGCATCATGCATCATTCCGCCGCGCCGAATTTCCATTTTTATGAACATTATACTTCATCATTCATACTTCATACTTATAGCCATACCATGTCCGGCGTCCCCATTGCCATGGCCATGATAGGTAAGAAATTCCAAAACCACCCCCTATATATGCCTTATGATTCTATTATATATGCCGGATTTCTTAATTATTGTTTGATGAAAGTTTTAAACAAAATCAAATAATTCTTTAATCATTAATGTTAGAACACAAATTTGGAGGACTTCGCCGCTTCGACGCGCCGCGCAAACTAGCATTCTTGCTTCGCATTCTTGCTTCACATTTTTGCTTCGCATTGATCTTGTTTCTTGACGGATGTTACTCGTCTAAATTTCTTCGAAGTAGCGCGCGCCGCTTTCTTCTCGAAGTAGCGCGCGCCGGGCCAGATCATTAACAATGGTCAATCTTGTTTCGCATTTTTGCTTCGCATTTTTGCTTCGCATTCTTCATTCTTGCTTCGCATTCTTGCTTCGCATTTTTGCTTCGCATCGTTGCTCTGCTTCGCAAAGCAACGATCTTGACGGATTAACATCGTCAATCAAAACACAAATTGAAATACGTTACATGTGTATTGTGCACAAATTTACCGCGCGCCGCGCGCTCACACATAATTAATAAATATTGTGCTGAATCGAGCGCTATCACAAACGCTTAGTGCTTAGGTGGCCACCGCTGTGTCTATTCGTTTCGGTTGTTGAGTATCCAAGTTGTGTTAGATTAGATGAGATTAGATTGCGTTGAGCTAATCAAAATTCAATTGAATAGATCTGAGCTGTTAAATAACTTCGGAACAGTTTTTAGGGCCTGATTCTTTTGATAGTGATTTGTTATTATGAATATCAAAGATTTCCCTGCTATTCCTAAAGATGAGCCAAAGTTTTCCGAGTGTGCAATGGAGTACTCAGAAAAATAGGTCATTCATCTGAAACCATGCAGTAGTCAATTTGCAACAAAATTGTACACGAGGACTTCATGGTGCAGAGATCGCTGAAAAGGACTTGTTGTGAGAATACTGCTAATTTGGCTCCCGCTTTTGCCTTCAATCTCTTATTTCTGGGGGTGCAGTAAGGACTTTTATTCAATCTCTTGCGATCGATTCAGCCGAATCATCGATAAATCCGTTATTGAGAGTTGCAAGAGAGGGAGGCTGTATAAGAAAGATAGATCGTATCTTTTAGTGAAACAAATATGTAATCTTTGTAAAACAAAGAAGTTAGCAAGAATGTAAGGCCCGAAGTCAATTCACCTTATAGTGTTTTTAAAACTATAGAAGTATAAATTACAGTACTATTCCTTCCTTCTCCATTGCAAATTGTTTCATTGTCACTGAGGTTTGGAGGACTTTGCATTCTGAACACATCGAAAACGGCTGATAGAGAATGCAGTACTATGTTATCTTTAGGAAGATAACATAGCAGCTTACTGGAGTTCTCTGTAGTCAAGAGTAAGACCTCATTAGGTTAGACTGAGTACCAATATGTTAAGGTCATAGAGCACTTGAAACCGAGAAAGTGAAATGTTTCACCTATGGAAAGACCAGACTACAAGATATCAGATAAGAAAATAGCCTTCTCTATGGCATGGCAGCTTATCCTGGTTTCCAGTACTGTAATCGCAACCCCTTGGACACTGCCTCGACAAAAAATTTCAGAGATGGCACCTTACTTTGATAAAGTTGGCCCATGCCAGATGTTGCAAAACACTGTGCTTATAGGATCAAGATTCGTTTAAGCATGGACTGTTCTGTACAAAAGGAGACTATGTTATATATACAAAATACTTGTCAAACAGAAGCTGTTTGGCCTTTTAAAGTAAGGGCCAAACAGGATCAGGTGATACAGTTAACACTAGATCCGCATTAGGGGTCGTTCACATATTACGTAATCAATATTTAGCAATTTTTACCCCCTCCCCCCTTCCGTAGTCAACCGTAATCAAGACTCAACCCCCGGCCCCCCCTCCTGACAGCAATATTACGTAATCATGGCCTGACCCCCCCCCTTAATTTTTTTTAGAAAACACTTTTCTCTACGTTCCATGCTACCCTGATCATGCTATCATGATGAGCCGAAATCATTGTTATGATATCCGGCCAAGCACCTTCTAAACAGTAAACTACTTACTATTATAGCCGGATATTCGATCAATTTCTAAATTTTATCACTATCAGACAAAATTGCCAAATTGTTATTATTCTAGAGGGTTAAAAAGAAAATTTTTATTACGTAAACAACGACCGAAACCCCCCCCCTCGTAATCAACCGTAAGCATTTGTAAACCCCCTCCCCCCTCGGCTGATTACGTAATATGTGAATGACCCCTTATTATAATTGTGCAGAAAGCCCAATTACGGTGTCTTATCACACTATCACATAATTACCCAATCAAAAAAACAAATTGCTTGATAACTTTGCCATTTTGAATCCGTTTTCACATTACAGATTTAATGACCTACTTACTATAGGTACGTTTTACGTTAGGGTTAGTTTGGCAGGGAGTGCTCCTGGACAACTTCCTCCAATCAGTCCTGGTTCAAACCTTTTTGTAGATTCCATTCCAAGAGTGGGTTGTTGGTGATGGCAGTGTATCGGTTGCTAGAGTATCAAGAAACGTTTTCTAAGATTTAGCAAGTGATACTTTGAAGGGTCTTAGAGCAGTTGACTGTTCACTTGTCGTGGGAGAAGGTTCCATAGTCTTGCTGCATTCACTCCAAAGAATTATCATAATGAGTGGCAACTGGTCGTTGCGATTTGTTGTTTGTGGTGGGACTATGCCATGTCGAGTGTTTTATTTGAATACCATCCTGATGTCATTTGTAGCATGACGTTTCCTTTGCTACAAGAGTTTCCTTTGCTTTTCTTTCCCTTAAAAAGGAAACTGACATGTTACGTGTTATTGAAAAAAATCAACTGGTTGTATTTTATGAGAAACCCTGGAGGATGAGAGATTGGGAAAAACTTATATTAATCAGGAATCGACCGGGATTGGCAATTTTGAGCTATCCCGGTTCCAGTCAAATGCTGATTTATGATCCCGGTCCTGGTCCCGGTTAATTCGGGATTCTTGGTCCCGGTCCCGGTCAATCACTCAAATTTGCCGGGATTTTGACCGGGATCTTTTACATAATTTCATTCACTGTGATTTTAAGTTTTTCCTTTCATTCATTGTGAATTTCATCTTTAAACATCCTCTGAGCCAAATAAAACAATGTTTAAAATTGCTAAACAAGTTTGAGTAATAAATTATGATCATGAATTAACCAGTAATGGACCGGAATTCCCGGTACCGGGAATCCCGGTACCGGGATTGGCAATTTTGAGCCATCCCAGTCCCGGTCCCGGTACCCGGTCAAGTCACATTTTTCATCCCGGTCCCGGTCAAATGCTGATTTATGATCCCGGACTTCCCGGTCCCGGTCAAGTCACATTTTGTATCCCGGTCCCGGTCCCGGTCAGGCCTGAAATCATGTCCCGGTCACCTCCTGTATATGATGATAATGAGTCTGATTTGTTTATAATAGAGAATCCTGGTGACTTAATTTATTCCCTTTCGAAACGATTAGAGGTTGTGTTTTAAATAAAATAAACTTCAGTATAAGCATTGTAATAGACTCGATATTTGCTGAACAATTAAATAAGTCTGATAAACATTTGTGATCATCATTAAATTCTTGTATAGGAGAAAGACTGCCAAACTCTCAGAAATGTGGGGATTCTTCGATTGGGTATTTGGTATTCTCAACTATCTTGGTAAGTGACATAATTGAATAACTTAATTGATTCAATACAATAATATATACATTACAATACTATATACAGTCTCACTAGATGACTAGATTATTTAACTTATAATACGTCTGGGCTCTGGTAAGTAGTAAAATTTTGTTCGTCTAAATTCTTTAATTCTTAAATTAATTGCTTCTATAAAACCGTCAGATCTCATGGTTCATGGCTACCTAGCTTAGTACCTAGCATACATCAAACATCGCATAAGTTATAATAGATTTTTAAATCAATCCTAATGGGCAACTCTTTCGATCAGTTTTGTTCTATTAGCAAACATCTGGGGCCTGGGACCCGTATCAGATACCGACATTGTTATTCTCCTCTAAGTGACAAAGTGTACTCAATGACATAACTCAACAGTTTTCTGTGTAAGATAACTATGTACAGTCCAAGTGTTTTCCCTTTTCCCATGTTGCTCCATTACAATGTAACATATTAGCGCTTTGATGATATGGCACTTACAAAATATAATTCCTCGATTGAGCAAAAATCAAATACATCTAAAAATCCATGAATATAACATGAATAAGGTGATTGAACATCTAAAAAAAATTCTTATCAGTTAACTGATAAAGAATTTTTTAAACTGCAGTTTCAAATGGGTGTTAAAGTCAAGCGCCAACCCATAAGTCGTCTATTTCTGACAAGTTGGCAGAACTAGATAACAATTAGAAAAAGGGAGTGACCTTATAAATGACACCATGGTATCAAACTTTGCGAGTAAACACTTACGTGTTAAGTGTTCGTTTCTAAGACCTTTAACTTCTTATCTGGAATAGCTCCTTATCTTCGTGCTGGATTAACTTCTTAAGTTCAGGCAACAAGTGGTAGTGATTTTAATACTAACCATGTTCTTTGATGGTAATTCTTCAGAATGACAATTAAGTTGAACATGACAGAACTTCTACTGATTAAATATTATACGATGTTAAAGATACCAGCGCGGCGTATACCGATAAAATCGTTACATTTTAGCACTAGTACCTGCAAGTTGACTAAGTAATTATCTACCGTCTAGTTAACAAATAATTAATTAGTTTACAATGGTAATTACCTAACATATTATAACGACACCACTAACTGCTAGTTGACAAATTATTGCGATAAGTTCCATTGTTTCAAGTGACACGTCCCATATCTTGATAAAAATGTAATATCTTGATACAAATGTGTAACTTTATGTAAATAAACATCGCCATCCTCTAATTAATAAGTAATTATATTGTATATTTCAGCCGACCGAAAAATTATGTAAATGATTCCCATTTTGCCCAAAGAGTCAATGGGGTTGGCCCCCCCCCCCCCCCATAGTTAAAACTATCTAGTATCTATTTAAGTTACCATGACACCGAATATAACCATATTTATTGAAACCCTCGCCCCCGAGTTAGTGAACGTAACTTACGTCATAGCGCAGTGTATAGAAACCTGAGCTACCCAATCGCCTGGATTTAACAAAATTAATTCCACTATTAATTCCACTAAACCATCGTATCTCTTATATGTTTCTAACCCAACTCCATTCAGCACTATTCCAGATATATTTTAAACCAACTGATTTCCGAACTTTTTATATCAACGTTTCCGTCTATCTCAGGCTTGGCAAAGAAGTCAGGAAAGTTGTTGCTCCTTGGATTAGATAACGCAGGAAAAACCACACTTCTCCAGATGTTAAGGGACGATAGATTGGGGACTAACGTACCTACATTACATGCCAGTAAGTTCAATGTTTGCACATTTGTACAATTTAGTAACGTACATAATACTTATTAATAATGTGAGATGATGAGTCGTTGGTTACTCGTTTGTGGAAATTTCTAACATTAAGCGATTGTGAACTGGCGACTAGTTTTTCAAATGAGCATGATCTTGTTGAGTGAACATTCCGCCCAATGCAACGTTGATGCGATGTGACGTTATTGATCTGATTACAAAACGTCTACGACGGAAATCGTCCCTTGTCGAAGGGTTAATCGACGTAACGCGCGCAATTACACCTTCGGTACTAGCAAATGTTTGCTCTTTTTGTATCGCGCCTTTTCAATGCCTGTCCAATATTTCGGGCGCGGAGAGCTAGCTAGCCGACGCGCGCACTTATGTGTTACGTGTTCGTTTCTAAGACCTTCGACTTAAATTATCTGGAATCTATTCCGAGTTCCACTCGTTTTATTTCACCATTGTCAAATGACACGTACTGAGTTAGAGGCTTTTTGCGCTTAACTCCTTGTTAGATCATGCTTTAACAGGTAGTAACTTTAAGACTAATCGTGTTCTTTTTCAGCGTCGGAAGAATTAACTCTTAACAACATTAAGTTAACAACATTTGATCTTGGTGGCCACGTACAAGGTAAATACAAATATTAATTATCATTTAAAGCTTATTTTAGGCTGTAACCTTTTTAGTCCAATGGAATAAACCTAGCATGCCTTGGTTGCAGCATCGCTTCTCTTATAGGTGCACATAGGGCCCGCTATGGCCAGTTTTCTGGTGTTTCGGTGTCCCTAATTTTGTTTACACTCGGTCACTTGTCAAGGCATGTACAGGTCATTCGGCGAATTTTCTTTGAAATAAAATGATGTATTTGTGTAACATTTTGAAAGTTTACTGATAAAAATCAGCATTTACTTAAACTAATGTAATAATAATAATGAAAAAAAAAACAATGTAAAATGTCAAGCTGACAATTATAACCCGCAGCTCGTAAGATATGGAAGGATTACTTTCCCGTCGTTGATACGTTAGTGTTTATAATTGATGCCGTTGACCGGGCTCGATTCCAAGAGGGCAAAGAGGAGTTAGATGCTTTGCTGTCTGACGATCAGATCTCTCAGTTGCCCATCCTTATCCTTGGAAACAAGATCGACTGTGCTGGTTAGATTATTTTAATGATCGTGTTCATATTTCTGTTTACATGTGACAATTCTGAAGATCCAACCTGACTTGTAAGCAATGTGTGTGTTGATCTGATCAAATGGCCCCCTCAGGCGCTGCATCTGAGGATGAAATCAGGCAAGAGTTCAGGCTCCATGGTCAAACTACCGGCAAAGTGAGTATATATTGGTTTTCTCTCAAAAGTTAGCCGTAAAGATCGCCTAATTGTCTGAATATTTAAAAAGTGGTGATGGCGCTCGCAAGATTTGATGTGTGACAAATCTGTCAGCACAGCCAATCAAGTACATACTTCGCTGCCACGTGTCGAAACAACACTGCGCTAACCTAATACCAAATCTCAAATATTCGAATGGGTAGCTCCCATCCTAAATTCTGTGCATGCCTAACAAACTCATTTTTCAGGGAAATATCCCCAGAAAAGAGCTCCAAACCCGTCCCATCGAAATCTTCATGTGTTCGATCAAGAAGAGACAGGGATACGGAGAAGCTTTCAGATGGCTCTCCCAGTACCTGTAGACACAGATTAGACATGAATACCGGCAGATCGCGTGATTAATAGCTTTATGTGCAGTCTTTGATTGATGGATGATTGGTCATTTTGTACCGTGGGGACTGTGTTGTATTTATTGTGCTTCCCATGACCCATTTTTATACTTCCTAGGTGCCAATTCCATTGCTATTAGGGATATTAGAGAGGGCACAGGTATGATAGTTTGCTTTTACATCTTGCTTCAGTGAAATATGAATGGTATAAGCTGATACTAATACTACAACTAAGTTCACTCGCAGAATTGCATGTTGCCTTTTATCGTAAGTGGAGGAAAGTTAAACATTTCTTGGACACTTTCCTCTAAAAACCACATGTAAGAATTAAAATAACTAAATCAGCTAATATTACGAGATATTTGCTTTTCCGTTACTTTTATGCAATTCGTTATGTATATTAAAATTTGACAGTAGTTCGTGTTTTAAACTGCAATTGTAATTTGTATTTAGCGTTTCCAGTGCAGAAATCACAAAAAGCACGGGTTATGTATGATCTAGTGATATGTCAATATTTTATATTGAATATTAATTGCCTTCAGTGCCGCGTTTAACTTTTCCTGAAGAGTTCATCCAGTATAGGATATGAATAGTTGGAATGTTTTTAGCCCTGGTGATACTGCAGAGAAAGCCGCGTAGTATTTCCTGGGAAATTACGAGCATTGACGTTAAAGTGAGCCAGTTGCGAAACTGTACACTGGTGCGCTGGAGGTGACAAAGGTTTTTTTGGGAAATACTACACGGTTTTATCTTCTATGATAGCAGAGAAATCCGTGTAGTATTACGACTTTACGAGCGTTGCCAAACTAAAGATGCACAGTTAAAAGAGGATATACTTATTGTACCAGCTTTATATCCAAATTTAATAATGCCCATTTTAATGAAAAGAAGATAAATCGTACAGAGGTTCAACTATTATTTAGTGCGACCGAATATAAATACAGTTCTGAATATTACATCCCCACCGTAAGACACGTGAAACCACTCTGGATATTAAATACAAACCATATATACACCTAGGACGATTTACGTATTATGTGTGCAATGTGACGGTCCCCCGTCCCGGGGGCCCTATTAGAAAAATATATTTAATCTCGTAGTACCAGTACGTAGTTCCAGTACTTTAAGTAGAGTCTTTTAAATATCTTTCAAATTACGTAATATGTGAACGGTCCTGTCAGAGCCTATGGAACCTCATTCATAGCTGACCCTGTAAACCTTCTAAGTGATTAAGTGTAGCGATCACCGACAGTAAGGCGCCCTTACTTGAACCAAAATCGTCTGTGGGAAATAATAGGAAGTAATTTTCAGTTTACACGGTATATATCGTGTATTCGATCAGCCATCGATGATCGAATCGCCGGAAAAAAATCACGCGCATGTTACGCGCGCGTACGTAAACACATGGTATTTGCGCGGGCTTGCAAATAATTTTATATGTCGCGCGTTACGTTCAGTAAGTCGATTAAGAGGCAGAGATGTTTTCTCGGGTTCTGTGGCGGATATGAATCTCGCCCCCATCATGTATTTTGCCTATTATGGAGCCATTATTCTACCTTACTTAAACTTACTCTGACACTAGTTATTGTGTCTGCTCTTTGGCAGGCAGTTATCTGCTCTTTCATCTTTGGCAGAATACGGATTTTAATGATGGAAAGTAATTAGAGTAATTAAAATAATTAGAGCTTGAAAGGATGTTTCGTGTTTACTTCTGAATTTTAACGCTATTTAAAGTGGGAGCCCCCACATGAAACTTTCCAACTGCAAATTGCCAGTTAAAAGATATTTACCAGACGGATCAAGGAAATGCCGTAAGCTTTTTGTGTCGTCGTAAGCTTTATCTTTACAGATTATTATTGTATTGAGTAAAGAATAGTTAATTCCCACGGTCACAGTCCGAAGACGTCATTATGTGACGAAGTTTTTATCAACTTGCCGTAATTCATCACTAAAAAGGTTGATATTCAAGTATTACATGCCTCGACACTACTGAGGGTCAATTGAAAATAATCCGTCCAGAATGTTCTTCAATATTACAGTTCACACAGTTGCACAGATGAATTGTCGTTTGGTTTGTTGACGCTTATTGACGTTTAGTTCATTCTAATCACATGATAATACATATCATGCAACAAGCCAGCAAGCTATCATGTGCCCGCAAGGAAGTAGATTGCGACGTCTGTCGTTATATCATCGTTAAATTTGTTAACCGCTCTGAGCCGTACAAAATTAATTATCATTGCGCCGATACGGACCCGTGTCAAAGGAGTGAAATTTGGGGGAATTAATCATTTGACAGGCGACCCAGGCACAAAATACGCGTGTAAACGTCAGCACACAGATAAGAAATGCCAGCAACACATCGAGGGAAGTAGAGGGGGAAGGTTGAATGACATTTGGGTAACATGTCAAGCCATCACACGTGACTCATCATGGTTATTCTAGATTCACAGGTTCGCCTGTCACAGATAAAGTTAAACTGTCTAGAGCGGTGTAAGTGTAGTTTCTGTTTAAAAGTGGTTTTAAATGAACTTTAAAGGAAGCGCGATATTTTCAGGAGATTACTTAACTTTATGGTAGTCTCATTGTCGATCGATATTTTAATTTTCAATCCGATAGATTCGTGTGAATTATAAGTGATTCCAAGTTCCAAATAAGACGAAATAAATGACATTTTTTAAAAGAATTATTTTGAAACACAACACTCTAACTGTGAACAATAATCAAGGCACTATGTCAAACAATAAACGGACGTCTTCAATATAAGGTAATTTATATGTCTGAAATTAAAAAATTTTTCAAGAATTAAATTTTTGAGAAACTTCTTCGCTAATGATTTTGAAAAATATAATATCTCTCGCTCTAGTCAAAGTTGTTAATGTCCTATATCCTATACTAACTTTACTAAGTATAAAGAGGTATTAAACTAATTCCTTGTCTAAAAAAGGTCTTGTTTTGATCGTAAATAAACACAGCACCGAATAATAACAGTCAAAATTTTACCCGTCAGATCATTCTTGAAATTAAGTATTTTAGAAATACTATAGGGTTGTCAAATTGAATTAGCCACTGAGATATAGATCATGCAGTAACAGCTGGCGCTGTAATTAAGATACAATTAAGATACAATTAATTAATATATACCTACAAATAAATATTGAGAAGAGGGTTTTATTTTCATAAATCTTAGTGGCCAACTGTGTTTGACAACACTATAATCAAAATACATACCATCAAGCAAGAAATTTGATGGTAGAAAACATTGATATAAAAAATTGATGTCGTCAACGGAGAGATTAGATTCCTCAAACAAAATGACACTAAAATTATACGTATATCAAACAATTTGATTGTATATAATTTCTAAACAGGTTGAGATTCAGTCTTGTAATCGAGTCCAAGTAGGTATCATATAAAAAACGCGGGGACACTGCAGAATGTCTAAGAAAACTAAAGCAACTGTGTACAACCAACAGTGTTATCCGAGCTCTGTAGTCTCTCTTTCTCTCGCATTCCTCAGAGATAAGGGTTCTCAAAACAAACAATCACACGGCACACTGGTGCGGACGCTTAGACGTGCCACGCCACTCTGGTGCGTGCGCTTACAAGTGCCACGCCCATGGCACGCTTGCCTAGTCTTTGTTGTACATATCGTTTTGTAACCTATATTTGGTCGGAGCACTGACCAATCACAAACAATCATGTTTTCTGCACAGATAATATCCCACAAGATGAAACTCATGTTTGCAGCTTTTGAGCTGTTCCGCCACAGTTCCCATAGATAGGGTTCGACACTGACATGGCGATGCACTTATTGTCTACATTGGCATACGCGCGGAGGTGGTTTGTTGGCGTGTCGTATATCGCCTGGGTGGAGGATACCTTCCGCGGAGCGGGTACAGGGGCATCAGTAGGAGCGGGCATGTTCATGTAATTTCCGTAACTAGCTCCGGTATTCTGGCGTGGGTAAGAGACGCCCCCCATGTTGGTGTAACTGGTGGAGGTATCAATACTGACGTTTTTCTCGAGAGTCCGGGACAACATGTCGATGTTCATGTAGTTGGAGTGGTTGGCAGGTTGGGCGGAGAGGTGCGGGGCGGGTGCACTCTGCAGGTTGTCTATGTTCATGTAGTTGCTGTGGGATGTGGGCGCGGTGGGCGCTGCTGTGGGCGTGTTGTACGCTCCCATGTTCATGTAGTTATCAGCCGGTACCTGATCATATGATATTATCATGAAATATGTATTCATGAAATAGACATTAAGAGATATATAGACAGGTCATGAGGAGCATTTCGTTTAAAATACTTTCGTTAAGATACTAACAACCGACAGACTTTCAAACAGACTTTCAAACAAGCAGACCAACCTGAGCAACAGTTTGTTGAGGAGAAGTAGGGTAGTTAATATGTTTAACTCCTGGTATCTGTGGGGAGGAGAGGGGCGAATGAGGTGGGGCGGCGGCTAGATGGCCTAAAGGTTTGGGAACCATGTAGGTACTCATACCGTTATCCTGGGGGATAGTGTGGTTTTGATTTATTAAATTTAGGAGGGATATCATGCGTTTGATAGAATTTCAAGAATAAATTCATGTAATGAAAATTATTAAGAGGATATCCCAGCAGAGAAGAAGTTACCAACCTGGACTGGGGGCCGGCTTGCTCCGTTTCTGAGAGTCGTGTAACCTTCCTGTCTCTCATTCTGAATCATTGTTTCGTAAACTCCACCAAACTCGTCGGTATGCAAGACATGTTTGTTCTCGGTTATGGGCTGCATTCCAGTGGGCTGCATTACCATGTACAAGTCTTGTGGAGATGGTTCCTGTGGAGGAAAAATAGGTGAGTCAGGTGAGTCAGGTGAGTCAGGTGAGTCAGATGGGTCAGGTGGGTCAGGTGGGTCAGGTGAGTCAGATGGGTCAGGTGGGTCAGTGGGTAAGGACTAAGGATATCAGAGGCTCTTTTTTTGTGACTAACTTATTTAGAGGCTCTTTATTTGATGTGGAGACTCGTGGTCTAGAGATTATACTATATAATACAAGAGAATAAATAGAGACTCTGAATTTTAGAGAGCTAATAATAAATGTAGACACAGGAGAGTTGGTGTATAAAGCTATGTTGTGGTTAATTAAGTACAAATTATAAGCACTCAGTACAAGCTAATTATTTACTTAATGGCTCATTATTGACTTTTTATTAACTGATTACCAATTAAATGCTGTACAAATTTTGTAAACAGATCAGTATAAGGTCGTGTACTCAGTACTGGCTGTGTACTGGTCGTGTAATTTCCAAAACTCACTCAAACACTGTTTACTCCAATATGAAATGACAGATTGTGTACAGTTCTCTTCTTTAGGGAATAAATTATCTTACACTTGATGACAACTATCAGTTCACAGCACAACTACCACGTTCAGATTTATTGCTGGTGAAGTTTAGGTATTGATACTGACATTCGCACATCACAAAACGGTATCATCACTTCATTTTAGCATTACCAGCTGATGTCGTATTTGCATCTTCAGCTCGTTTGTTATGTGTCCACCAGGGCAATAAATCTGTTCCCACGTCTACGGCAAAAAGCCCTCACTAGACCAACTTAAACACATCCTGTCTATCATTCCAATAGCAAAACATCAAATTTACAAGAATTTCCTCGAGTCTGAAGCATGTTGTGTCTAGTTAAACGTTTCAGTCACTGTCTTCTTCTTCTACAACACCCCCTTCCTGCCATAACGTCGCTATACAAGTACCCACTACCAGAACAAGTACCAGGTAAGTTCCACTACCGATTACAGGGAACCCTTATACAAAAGTGAACCAGGCTACTTCCAGTGCCAGGTAGTTAGGGACACAGGCAGTCACGTGTACAATTACACTAGTCACGTTTTCCTCAGAAATAAAGTGTTCTGAAGAGTTTGCAAACTTTGCATGATCTGGCACTGTAACTGTAACTGATAACGGTCTTATCATCACCAAGAAGCACTTTTGTTCTAATGAATTCTAGCCAGATGGTCGTATTGTCGTAAGCTGTTTTCCATACGGAGAAAGAGAGAGAGAGCAGGTCACATTTGGAGCAAGATCACGTCCACCTGACTAGGCTCCAGATGACTTGCGAGGTGTGGAAAATACAGCTGCAGTTAAACATCACCGATACTCAACCCCACAACACGCCGATACAGCTACATGGTGATAGATCTGGAAAGTTTAAATTTGGTGATGATTAAAAGGTGTCACGTACCCGGTCGAAGTGGAGGATCTTTCTAATTTTATTGGATTGGAAGTATTGAAGGAGCAAGGCTAGTGTAACAGAACAAGGTCACGTGACTGTGAGACGTGACGAAAATGTTGTTGGAGATCACGAAAATATGGTTTAAAAGTCACGTGATCTGCGGTATTTTGTTGGTCTCGTGCCCGGGTTTACTTAGCAGCACCTTGGTGTCACGAATTAAGATAAGTTGGAAGTTAGACTGCCGTCAGACGCTGTTTTGACGGCAGTATACTGAGTACAAAGCTTCTTCGATCTTAGCTTTAGATCAAACTTTATCATCAATCTAATCCAAGATTTAGATTGGCAGGTTGTATGGCTTCAGATGGTAAAGATGCCGATGCTCGTTAAATTCCGGGTATACCAGTCAAAGAGGTACGGCTATAATTCGGGCACCTGACATAGTTTAACTCACTTTGGTCTGAATTTTTCGTAAAACGTCCGTTTAGACAAACGAAAGTCAGATCAATTAAGGAACTTTAAACGTCAGCGTTTTTAACCTCGACTGAGGTCAGAAGCTAGCCTGGTTGTAGTTTGTAGTTGACTTAATATTCCGAGTTAAAAGTAGAACCCTGACAGGATATTGTTCCCGAAATAGTCCACTCTATTGGATTGGAGCTCTTAGTGTTAATGGGAGTATCCCTGAGCCTGGTATTGGATTGAGGTATGACAGCATACCCTTTGGAATGTAGTACAGAATCTTCCTTCATTGCAGGCAGGAAGCATAACTTCTCAACTTAAATACTCCAAGATTTTAGGGAGGAGAAGAAGAAATCATAATTTATAACCCAAACATCGCTTAACAGTATTAAACACTGGATTAATAAAATATCGGCGGCTTTTATCGGCAGGGTAGTTCAAGTAATGGTAAATGTTAGTAATATCTAGGAGTGGTCAAAGGAATGTGGCTGAGCCTGCCGGCACATAAATGTCAAGATGTATGATGTCTGGAATGAAGGAGCCGACCAAACTATAACTCTCTCACGTGTAGATTATTAGAGCAATACCCAGGTAAACCCCGCCCTAGCCCCTATACTAGGTTTATTACATTTTCCCAGTAGCAAAGTAAACGTCCCGCTATAATGTTTGTCCGAATTATAGGACAGATATTATATTGATTATTGAGTAGCATATAATATATAATTGGTACAGCTGATGACTCATGTCTGCAGATTGAAATTACAGAAGCACAATATTCGGCTCACAGGCTGAGCTGCTCGGAAAACTGTCAGAACAGTAAATCTGGCTATTAACAGTTGTCAAGGACTGTCGATCATTTTTGTTACAATACTTTACAAAACCCATGTTACAATTACCAATGTGTCAAATCCGTGCAATGCTCTTAAGTATCTATTAAACGTGAAGTCGGCCATGTGACTTCGAGTATTTTTGTGTTGGGATCAGACAGCAGCTGACTCAGATAATCAGATATAATGCTCGAATCAAGATCTGACGGGATTGAAGAGAAAAAACCTCCAGTCACATGTTGTGTCACATGACAACTGCACGTGGGCGCTAGTAGGGTGACAGTGGGTATGTACATTGCACCCCAGGTGACAGGTTTAATCAGAGATAATTAATTAATTAGTTTCAATAAACGTTGTTTAGCGAAGCAGCCAGTAGTTGCTCAGTAGACGGAGAATAGTATGGAGAAACACTGTTTTTAGAAATGCAGGCATTGTCAAGGTATTGCAGGTATGTTCCAGAACAATTGGCGGGAAATTCCTGAAATTGTTTGGTACTTCACCCTCGTCAAAAAACCGCCCGAAATATCGAGGTTCTACATTCTTCGAACTTTGAATTTCAGTGCATGCTGGACAACATTCTTGATTCTTAAAGCACATGCTTATGTACGCTCTGCCATACCCAAATATTTAGCAAAAGACTTTAATCTCAAAACAGTGTGTCACATGTGTACTAATAATCAGATTACGGAGATAAGAATTTAGACTCATACCTGTTCCTTACACGGTTCAAGGTTCAAACTTCGAGCAGATAATATTGAAAAAATATTGGGCCGTCACGGTATATTATTATACAATATAATATTCATAATATTATAAGCTATTTCATTAAGAGATGCGTGTATTGCGGCTGAGTGTTTTGTAATCCAATAATTGCACGAATTGAAGCCCAGAGGGACAGTTGCGGTTTTTTCACCCAAGAGAAGAGGACGACGATAATTTTTACTACAAACCACATACAGGCTAATATCATTATATTTCCTCATATTATTTAATTATTCCTCAAAAGGTGTGATAAAAACCACTTAGAAGTGATACGTTCCAGTTTTTCTCCTCAATCACTGACACGCTACTTTCACATCAATACAAATAACGTACACCGTCTAAAGGTCTAAGGGCCAGCAAGTCTCACGGTATGGTCTTTACAGGTGTGTTGTCCACCAGAGATAACAGAATTTCTCACAGGTAGGTTAAAAGGTATAGTGTATACAAACCTTATCTATTTCCCTTATCTTTAATAACCAAGGATAGAATATTATTAATATTACTTCACTGGAACAACTCCTCAAAATTATCCTCCTCTCGGAACACATCACCCGTAAAAACATCCCGCACTCTCCCAAAATATGTACTCAAGCGCGACACGTTTGTGTGCAGAAAAAAAATTACATCCGATATCATTCTTAGTTCTTCTCTCTCCTGGTTTTATTGATTTTCTCTCGTCAAAAAATAGAAGGCGTGTCAAGCCCGTTGCGTTTCTTGTCTTTATGATATACAGTGTGCAGCCTCACTGAGACTAACTTTTCTCTAAAAGACAGGATAAGAAGCCGGAGAAAAGACGAGCCCTCCGATAGCCCGCCAATTAACAGCAGTTTGTTTTACTTTTTCAGCGGTGAGGAGAGACAGAGGGGAAGTTGCGACTTGAGGCAGACATTCTGGCGATGAGAGAGAGAGGAGTGGTGTGAAGGCTTGAATTGGTGTGGCGGAATTGGCAAAATGTTTGGTGTGTGGAATGTTTGGCGTCCTTATGGTGACTGGTGAGTGGTGGAAATATGATGAATTTGTAGCTATCTTCAACTGATTGTTCAGGAAACGACAGTTCACTTGAAAGATCTAAGTAAGGTCGACAGAATTGTCCAATCAGAGACAAGCCATTACCTCACGTGGCCTACTTTCATTCAATTACAAAGAACTTCAAAGCTTAGGAAGGAGTTATGGAGTCAACTATACTACCCTGCACTGTAATTTTCAGTGGTATTTACTATTTCTGTCTTGAATCGGACAGAAAGGAATTCTAGCTTCAGCTCCACTTTTAACCACTAAATATTGTGGTTAAAAAGTATGTGTTGAATTGTTAAAACATGCTGCTTCATATTTCATGGCACAGTGCATGAAGAACACGCGTGAATAGACGATAGTATTTTTGAAATCCGGGAATGAACTTAGGCTTTCCGGTCTTGAACATTTGAATACGATACACTTCCTGTAAATTTTAACGCCACGAGCTGATAGAAACGCCCCATGACTTTAGTCAACATTCAGATTACAGATCTATACTACTCAATACACACTTGAGGCTAGAATAGGGGGAATTTGGTAAAACATAAGCTCACTTGACCCGTCTAATTTGACATTTGAGATGGAACAAAAGTCACCAAATCATGTGATAGGAAGAAGTGAAATCAGACACTAGTCGGCTAAAATTGTGCATAGACTCAGAGAACTGTAAAAACAGCAGCAGACGCAATAAATTTCATGCACCCTAGATAATATTTACAAAAAACATTTAAAATTTAAACCCTTTTAATTATAAATGACTGATAACACTGACAAAAACGAGAAGCGTTTAACATGAAATTAGATAAAACACATCCAAAGCCTGTAATATTGGTTAAAATTCGGAAATTGATGAATATTCTGAAAGATAATGGATAATACTGCTGAAAATACGACTTCTAATACCCTTAACCATGAGATTATGTTTTAAACAGTTACTAAAATTAATCTAACAAATACTCTTTTATACACTGCTTGGTAGTTTCAGCCCATAGAGTACTTGACTCAAGACCAGGGTACAAGCAGCTACCATGCACAGCTCCAGGAATAACAACAAATTCCAGGAGTCTCCCAGCTCGTCTCAAACGACCAGCTAGTCTGGAAGTTTCCGTCCTGAAAATGTCGAATTCTCGGGAGTCCAGGACAGTTGGTGGGAATTTGGAGAGGAGCTCTTCGCTTGCTTTCCCAGGGAACATCAAAGGGCAGGTATTCTGAGACTCAAGATCTGATGCGATCAGTTTGTACGCTTTACGACGCTCCAGATGGTCCGATCTTTCTTCAATCGTCATGGCGAGAGGATCTCCAAAGGAGTAATCATCCACCATAGGCTCACTAGCAATAGCTAGTTTAACCAGATAACCCTCATTATGCTGAGCTAACAAAACCTCTGCCCCCAGACAGATGTACCCTCCACCACTGTCTCCAACGATACAGATCTTAGCAGGATCAATACCCAGACTCTCCGCGTTATTGCTTACATACTTTATAACCTCGTAGAAATCCTTGATGTTGTTCGGAGATTTGGTCTCCGGAGCGAGCCTGTAATCCACGTTGAACACTACCACACCACAATTCACAGCTGTGAAATCCAGGATAGGTTTGTATTCAGAGGGTGTCCCCGCGATTACGCCGCCGCCGTGCGCGTAGATATATGCAGCGTTCTTAGACCCACCAACAAGAGACTTAGGAGTGTACACGGACACGGGGACTTTAAAGTCTCCGTCATGAGAAGTCGGGACTTTAATCTCCTCACTTTCACATTCTCTCGTAGCTGCCTGATATTCAGGACACTCCAGCAACCTTCCTCCAAAGTTAGAGTTGATCTCCCGATATAACCTGAGAATCTCCTCGTCGGCTTCGGTATCATTCTCGTGCTGGGTGACGAGACCCAAGTATTTACCCCATGTAGCTACGAATTCAGCGGGTGTAGCCATCATCCAGTCAACAACATCCTCTGCTACCTCACCAGACAACTTGAAGTTAAACAGACTTTTGGAGATCACCTTAGCCATGGTTTTACCTAGACAAACGGTGTTAATTACTCTCAATCTACCATCGTCTGAAAGTTAAACCACTGTTTTAGACGCATGGTATGTCATTTTACTTTTATAGAACCTGGAAGATATTCATATTGTTCCAGAAAGGAGAAGCCTGGCAAAACTTTCCGTCTATTACAACAGCCTTTTTCGAGAGAGAGAGAGAGCAAATGTCAACTTTCTTTCTCTCAAACATTAGTCGTATAATTATATCAAGATATTACTAAGATATTACTAATGATAGGTTATGTAAAGGTATGTGTGATGTCCATTGGTAGTGTCCACTGGTGCAATATCGGTATTTTATCAGGTACCAGGTACTAATAAGAAGTGTAAGTGACAAGTGTTGTGTAGAAGGTTACGTGGCACTTTTGGTGATCGTTATTTTAGGAATTTAAGGAATTAGAGGTTGGTAATTCTGGGGCAAGGCAACAAATGAGGATAATTCTTGAAAACGTGGCAGGTTGTCAATCATAGTGTTTAGTGTTAATTACGATATTTCTTTAAAGTTTTTACGAAATGTTTAAAATACCAAGGATGAAAGGAAAAAGGAGACCTTGATATCAAACCATGTGTTTAAAACAAATAGGAAACCTTTTTAACTTTAATCGTTTGCAACGAGCAGTGGTAAAAAGATAAAGATCAAATCGTTATAAAAAACCCGTTCAACGTCTCACAAACACACCACAATCAACAAAACAGATGTCGGATCACGTGACCACTGAACGATTCCTCCTTGCAACGAGGAACCAAGTCTTTTAAAATATATTAAATGCTCAGGTGGCCAGGGTGGCCAGAAAGTGTGTATTAATCAAATGTTGAAGTTATTCCAGTAAATTGGATGAATAACTAGAAATGTGTTCCGAAAACATGACAAATTGCTTAAACTCGAGCGATTACAAAAACACTCGAATTTAGGTACGCCTTCGCCCTTCTTAAAATATGATGTACGCAGAAAGATACGGGTGTAGTTTCGCTAATTAAATCGTTGGTTTTATTTCTATGTCACTTTAAAAGAAAAAATAAGTAAAAACATTCCAGTACATTGTGCAGAATGTTGGAGATTTAAATCTTGGAAGTATGTGATATATCGATCGTAAATATTAAAAATACTCTAGCACAATTGTAACTGCAGTTTTACAGAACTCTAAATGCCTAATGAATATACTTGCAGGTACCACCCGTATTCACACTCAGTATTGAGTTTAGTCATTTTCCAATTCGAGATTTGGGACGGGTTTTATAAACAAACAAACAAACAAACAAACAAGTGCAGATCTCCTTAAAGCAGAGGGTTTAGTACAAAGTACACGGAGGAAGCGAATGTATCATACAAATAATACAAAGCTATTGAATAATGTGTTTGCAACGCGGTGATGGATATTTATGAATATTATGAAATAATATTTTTTATTTTTACTTTTTTAATAATATTAGAAGAAATGCCTATCTTTTGTTGCAATTTTGCGGCCAATACGTTTCAATTATATTTATACAACCGGATAAATTTGCACTGTTTTTTTTGTAGACTGTACAGGATCAAACAAACGAATCAGCCACAGAGAAGTTGAACTGGGCCGTGAACCTTTCACTTTTCAATAATAAGGTGTGAATAAGATAAGGGAACATTCTCTTTGGATATATTCCAAGTCGGCCTCATCACGCGAAATCAATGTGAAATGTGAATCTAGTACATTCACCATATCATTAGAATCGAGTTACATAATATGTAATTGCACGATGTAGATATTATGATTACAATCCAGGGTGCATTCTCCCGCGCTTTAATAATGTTTGTATCGATATCGTTAGTTAGTAGCAACTCCAGAATTACTTACTTACACGCTAAGTCACCAGTTTATGAATGTTTGATGTAATAATTAAATGATCTAAATCATGTTGGCGTCACCAGATTTAATGACGTCATCAACCCAAAACAAAACTAACCGCTGTGTTGGAGACTTGGGGAGGTGCTCCTCGGTTGAGACTGTCCAGCGTGTCCACACCACTGTCGATCTCCGTCTCACCCAGGTTCAGATCTGATGAGAAGCTGCCGCGGGAGGATCTGAAATAGTGACGTCAGAGACTCTGATGACGTCATCATGACGAAATGTACAGGATTACAGGGATTACAAGCATCACGGGGATTACAAGGATTATGACGTATTGATCAAACTGGTTAACATCGCGGCACTTGATCTAATTTCTGCTGACCGACCACTTTATCCCAATCAACCGCTTTTTCCCCCGAACATCCACTACCGGGTCCGGGCGGTGAATTACAGAGGGATACCAGATACATATCTGCTAATTTACTATCATAATTGATAGGCGTTGATGAGAACAGGAGTTTCCTTATCAGTACTAATTAAATTTACAAACATATACGTCATCTTTCTACAACTGAACAAGGGTTTTATCTTACAGACATAACTCTTAAGTTAGTATTAGTCATTGATAGACATGTCATCTATTTCAGACACTGATCTAATTAGGTTTACTGTATCGAATAGCACTTTTTATATGACAATCAAGACAGAATTGTTGCACACCCGAAAGCAAATGAAGGTCATCTTTAGCTCCACCTAAAAACTTCCGTTTTGCAGTACCTGTCATCAAATTAACATATATCTGCCCAGGCCAGGCCTATAGAATTTTGGACACGGATTAATTAAAGTCTGAAGATTGAGGAGCTAGACATCAGTCGAACACAGCTTGCCAACAAGCCACCAATTACCTCAATCTCTATTAATAATACATGAGGCATGCTTTCCCCACCCCATTCTTCCTCTTGATACATGACAATTAGTATGGTCGGAGAGCACGCCTCTGTCTCTTGGGATCAATTTAACTTTCCGGCAGTGTATTGTGGGAAAACAAAGGCTGATGGAGCGTGTGTGCACTCTTTTCTTAGGGTTCACACTTCACACACTCTTACGGCGGTGTTCTCTTCTTCACTTGCCCGTTTATTATGTAAAAGAGTGATCGCTGGCAAATAGGCACCGCCGTACCACTTGAATCCGTTTGAAATGGTCCCAAATATCACAGACTCTACATAATGACCGATTCATAACGTCATATCTTTGTCGCCGAACCAACTCAATGCATGAACCATCACTTACGAAGTTCAACAAATTGCATAGATCAAGCCTATAAAATGCTAAATGAAAACCCACCAAATAAACCTTTAAGGATACAACAAGGCTATGTTCTCTTTTTCTCTCATGTATACCGACTGTGAACATCATGGACTGGATCCAATACATAACACTGAACAAGCTTCTTTGGAGCCTGTAAGTGTACGTGATCGTGCATGACGCGCGGTGCATTGTATCTTGTCCTTAGCAGCCCTTTGAAGAAAACTAGCACAGTACATCTCCTCTAACAATAATCAAAAGAGAGAGTGGAACTTTTACCGTATCAAAAGTATAACAGATCGTTGATTTTTTATTGTCACAAGTCCAAGCACGCACGTGCACAGCCTATATCAATAAATCAGGAACGATGACTTAACCCTCCCCGTTCGGTATATCCTTAAATCGTTACCTTATTTGTACGGGAAATTAACATTTTGACAGGCGTGGTTCAGGACTCAGGAGAGGATTATAAAATTGTTATAATTGTGGAGAGATGAAAATGTAATAGTTGGTATGGGGAGGAGGGATGATGATCACGAACACTGCACGCTACCAATTACTCATGCTCAACTCTTATAATGAGTAAACAATGGTCCTGACACAAAGACAAGACATTTTACGTCAGCTGATTGGCGGGGTCAAGTCAGGTGGGGTTGATCCTGTTGTTTCATTGGTGGGGAGGGAGGATTGGCAGGGGTGACAGCGCTCGGTGTAAGGTTTAGGGTATGATCCAGTACTATCCGACAATAACTGTCTTAGAAATTATTTGTTGTGTTATATTGTTACAAAGTTTGCTACTACAATTATACCCCACAATTGAGGTAGCAGGAGGAGTGAGGATAACAGCCCGGCTGTGATCCAGCCTTTTGTTCTGGTCAAATAGACTAATATTTCTGACAAATCTTACTGCTGAGTATATCATCATACTCTCATTTACCTGAGAACATTCTCATAACTGAGAACAAAAACTCTAAAATACATCCAAAAATGTGGGCTCAATTTAAACTTCAACACTACATGAGCACTAATTTCACTGGACATCATCCGTGCATACTCAACACAGTCTGCATACAGTAAACCCTAGATTGACTATGGTGTTCCGATTTACAATGTCATTTTATGATTTTATTTTCCCCAAAGTTACCCGATTATTAATAATATAGGATTTACAGTTCAAGTATTAAAGTTTAATAAAGTAAAAATGTAAGAACAAGTTGATGACTGAAGTTTTAAAAAAAGTTAGAAAGTAAGAACTAACTTATTGTTGAAGTTTAAAGAAAAGTATAAAAGTAACTTTTTAATAATTAGTGAACATCTCCTCTCACCTGTTGCTCAGAATTGAGTTGTTGGAGCTCCTGAAGCTGACCCCACTGTCAATAGTATCGGACATGGGCCTACTACCATTCCTGTCTAGTGACATTTGCCGCACCTGGTGAACAAACATAAACGTTAGAAAAGTTTAATTCATCGGATTAAAAGTGTTGGGAAGGGAGCTGAGAGTGTGAACATCAAATAATTTGAATATTTGAATATTTGATAGAAGTGATAACTAATTTGACCATAATTGGAAACCAATTCAGTTGTTAACATATTGATAAAGTAGAGTTGGGTTACAGTCACATGGTATAGTTCTCGGATTGAGTGCGTGATCACAAGAATGTAAAACTGCGATCCGATTTATCTTACAATAGTTTCTAGTTCTACTCAACATAAAGCTAGGCATTCCTATTAGTTATATAGAAAACCGATTAGCATACGTTGGAAAATACAGATACCAGAAGAATATAATAAATAAATAAGATTGCTGCAGAACGTTGAGAAGCAGCAGAGTTACGGCTAGTAGAAAAATGGTTAGTAGCAGACACTGAAGGCAGGTAAATCACACATTTAAAAAATTGATTGGGAACCGATTACTTAGAGAAACTAAAACACACTCAACTTAAAGTGATTGATTAATGAACTCAAGGATCTGGCGGAACAGAATTAAAAATAAAGGAGACAATCTAAGTTGAAATCGGAAAAAGACCAAGGGATTATAAAGTTCCGATTAATCTTCAAAGTAAAGACGAAGCAGTGATTCCGTCAAGTTCCACTCCAGCGATATTTGATCACACAATTTGATCACACTTTTTCACATGCCATGGACTGCTGGGATCCTCTGAAGCTGGAAGTTGACTGCCCGGAGTTTATCCTGCTCCTCGGATCATCCTCGTCCTCGTAGATAATTCCGTCGTAGTACATACTCGGTACTGTCATATTCCCAGACATTCTCCGGTTTGGCTGGTCAACTGACTTGGAGTATTGGCGCATTTCCTGGGTGAGGTGAACGATCTGAACTTTACTGTTGCCAGGGTAACAGCAGAACTCCCAAAGCAGCAGCGCAGATCACATGATAAAGAAAAGCACGACACGTGGAAGTTGAGCTCAGCTCACATCATACAAATACTAAAAATTCCATTCAAAGCTGAACTGACAGCTAAGACACAAACTCAATATAAAACTTAAGAACAACACTCAAGAGAAAAGCAAAAGAAGAGGTACACGCAGTTAAAACCAGAGAGGAGTTGGAGCCCCTGAAGTCCCCGGTGGAGTAGCTATGATCCATAGACCGCGACTTTAGGCGCATCCCAGCGTGATACACATTGGGCGGCGCCTGCTGTAACAATACTCGTTACCATGGGTAATTGTTGTCATGGTAACCAATATTATAGTGTGCTAAAGGTTAGTGCTCAAGATTTAACCCAAACAATGTTTAAAGGACCAGTTAACTGAAAAAAAAGTTGTCCTCATATTTTGACAGATTGTGACAAATAGCAAACTAAGCAACGTGTCGAAATTCCTAAATCTCTAACTGCTCTCTAACGCGTGTAAATAGCGTTTGTATTATTTTGGCGATGACGTCATAAAGTCCCTTGCGCGCGCAGAAGAGCTCGTGAGACTGTATTTTACAGGTAGAAAATGGACATAATACAATGTTTTTCCCCGAATAACTCGAAAAGTAAGTAATTTAGGGTACATGTTGCTTCATAAGTTGTATATAAACATGGCCATTCTGCACAATTTGCACACATTCAAAAACCTTTAGGGCCTTCATAGCCCAATTTATTAGATATCCATAGTTTTGCATGATTTCTGGAACCGAAAATCAGTTTTTCGCCAATAAATGAAAAAGTAAGCACTTTAAGGCATATGTTTGTTCGTAAGTCATATATTAATATGCTAATTGCGGTTCTTTTGCACCCTCTCTAAAGACTCTATCACGATCCTATCGAAAATGGGCTCAGCATCACGCCCAAAATGGTTTTTGGCGAATTTATCGAAAAGCAAGGATTTTAGGCCATGTGTTGCTCAATAACTCCTATATAAACATGCATATGCGGCTTCGTTCAAGCCTATTTTGAAGTCTCTACGACCTTCAGAAGCAAGGGGTCGGTTACGTTATTGGGTCAATATGGGCGTGGCCCTCCTGGGTTTTCTCCACGGTCAAAAAATGTCTCCAAACGAAAATCGTTTATTCATACCTTCGGGAAGGTCTGTGCAAAGTTTCGTGAGTATTTGAATATTTGCAGGTTCATTTCCATAAATGTCCATAAATGACTGGACTACACAACTTTAGAGTTAACTTTAGAGAAACTCATAAGTCATTTATCTCAAATTAAGCTGTTAGTGTCCATGATCAACCTGTGGCAACAATGTTTTACGTGAAATGTAAAAATCAGGAGTAATATAAAAAGTGTATTTTTAGATTAAAGTGCTAGCTCATAGTTTTAGAATTGTATTGATTAACGTTGGTCGTTTAGCCACCTAACAATCGATCGTGCCGTAATATATGGCCAGAGAATAATAGGGTCTTGGAAATTCTTAAGTTGTTCAGTGGGTCGATTGACTGAACACGTTTGCACTTGGTATTTAAACTTACCAGTAGTTATTTATGTTATGTACCGATGATAATGCAATTAGGATAACAACTAGGTAAGCCGTAAGTCTAATTCAAAACACACCGCACACTGTACACTCCGATCCCATCAGTATTACTATTTGGTAGACGGGTATTTTGGCGGGAATTCTGTTCCCACGGCCCTGTTCTGATAGAAGCTACTTCAGCTAATGATACCATAGAACCGGCCGTCGTAAAGTATCCAGACTTATTGTCTCTGTACTGGCTGACCACATGCGGATTAATGGTTAGAAATTTCCGCTATGCTATAACAATAATTGCTCTCGGAATTTGAACAGAAACTCCCTACTTAATCTAGATCCTCTAAATTCGTTAGAGTTCATGGACTCTGGGGAACAAACTCGGTACAAGTCTCCCTGCATGTGTAATTAAGCAATGAAAACAATCCAAAATATACACTTGACATAAGAACTGTAATATCAGAAACTTTCTAACCGTACATTCACCCGCCACTGTTCAAGAACCTATATCACTGTTTAAAAATCATGAGCGTGAGCACTGTTACATCAAATCAGCTATTCCTTAGTTAGGATGATAGGCCCAAAACTATAAGGATTTTGGAGAACTAGGATAATAGTCATAATTCTAAAATTCGAGTGAGTTACACGTGTTTTATTGACGATGATAAACATTTGTAATGTAAATTACGATATGCAAGCGCGCACTGAGGGACTTTATGACGTCACGAGGCCACAGCTTATTATTGCAATAACACGCGTTACAAGTACGCTAGAGAGTTGGTTCTTTCGGCGATACGATTCTTTACCCAGTTTGTCACAGCTGATTTAAATCTAAGCCAAATTGGAGACTACAAATTTTTCAGTTAACTGGTCCTTTAAAACAGTGAGAAAACAGTGAATGAGGCATGGTGCCCTTCCTGGTTAGAAAAATGCCTTAAAAACTCAAAATGCCTGATCCCTAAAAACTACCATTTTAAAATTAGGTCCATCCATTAGGCTTGAAAGTGTAAACTGTAAAATGAAACAAACACGATGACTGAAATACAAATTCACCAATTAGTTAACCATCTAATTAACTAACCGATTCTCCGTTGCTGGAACTGCCGCTACTTCTCTTGCTGGTATTACTGGCCACACTTCCGTTAGAAACAACTGTCAGGGGCCGCTCTGCCGCCCGCACTCTCGCGTTCTGGCCCGGGAAATTCCTGAGAAAAGTTCTTGTAGGAAGGTATTTTTTCAGGCGGATGTTTACACCGGTGAACGTATTTTTTTGCCTCTTCATTCTTTACCTGACTACGTTTCTCCCATAAAGTCGGGATTAAATTTGAGTTATATGGTTTGTGCCAGGATTTTGAGCTCCCGGTATAGTTGTCAGGATTATAGTTCAAAGGTCTAAATGCTGTTAGAAAAACGTTCATAGTCATTAGTCAAGGATAAAAAGTACGCTCCATCCGGCATAATATGTTATTAAAACAATCGAGCAAAAGCGGGGAATTTCCAAAGAATTGTAGGGTAGGGAAGATTGGAGAAGGCAGGGATTATGAGAAGGAAGATGTGAAGTGGAGGTACTACCTCGATAACTACCTGAGGTAGTTATCGAGTGATATTATTGTGGTAATAGTGCGTTCATGGTGATAGAATGTTCTGGAATAGAGTGAGTTTATGGAGGGAGGTGTCAGTGATCTAGAAGGTATCTAAACTCGACAAAGATATTAGATAACCATCTTTTAAAGTTTTTAATTTATTAAATTTTAGTCGTTTTCCCACGGTACATACCAGAGTTACAATTAAACGCCCATTTTAACACAGTTGAAAGCCTTACCGACCATCATGAGATAAAGATTTAGCCCATTTTGACCGGTTTAATTAACCATGGTAATAGGTACCAGTAGGTACCAGTAGGTACCAGTATAGTAGGTACTGTGCTGATCTGACCTATATTTAGAAGTGCCCATGTTTTATACCGGAACTGTACTCGCGGTGACAAGAGGTTTCGTGTCACAGTACAGTAAAAGTACCGTGAATTTAGGGTTGTAATATTAAAATGTCAACTTGGTTAGATATTGTAACATTGGGATATGGAACTGGGAGCTCATAGACCCTGAAATAATTAGAGGGACCTGTGAAGTATCCGTGGTATGTAGGGCTAATAAACCCGGTAGCAGTCCAACCGCTGGTGGGAGATATTATCTCGTAACAGTCTGAGCGTATCTCCCTGTTTGGTATTTCACTTCTCCTTAACAGGTCTATACCTTTCAGACTCTAACCAGGCAAAGTTTAGTAGACTGATGACATGGGAGGTGATAATATCACTGTCAAATACCAGGTGATTAATGTGGGATATTTGTAAATAATAGAGCAGAGAAAACGTCGTCAGCTATAAGCTAGATGGCTATGTAATTTGGGTTTAGTGTGTAAGTACTGATAAGGCACCGGAAGGTAAGTCTAGAGATTTTAAATACTTGAGCTTAGTTTAATACCTAGCTATTTAATACATGCATAAATTTAAGCATATTTTACAAAATATTAGAACATAATTTTGAACATAAGGTTGTTAAGGATCCAATGGAAATTAAAGAATAAATTGAGAATATTAAGCGGGTTTGTACAATGTCTAGACCACATACCACATACCACATACCACATACTACATACTACAGTACACAAACCACACTCAGAGTACGCTGAAAATACACAGACTCGCGACTACGAACCTGGGAGTTATACACAACATTTAGCTGCTATGTTAGGGAGAAATATGGACTGGGCAGAGTTTGTACAATGTACATTTCAGCAGTGAAAGTTCTCTGTGATGCTTCCAGGGCGGGATTGGAGATAGAAGAAGAGGAGTGCAATTTAAAATTAAAACTTGAGGCCTGTGAGTCGAGGACTGATTCCTCTGGCCTGTTATTTCTAGGCAGAGAACTCTGAAGCTATATCAAATTATGCAGTAATTTAATTTTCAATTAGAATGAAAGCTTTATTGACGATGTCCAATTATTTGTGGTCTAGTTCTAATTTGGTCCGGTTCAGATAACATGAAGTATCTAACATTTACATTCCATTTCAGAAGTACTTATATATCCATTAATCTGACCAAATACTTCAGATTCCTAACGTGTTCCTAACAAGCTGTAGGTGAACACTAAAGGCAATTCACAGAACCCCAAATTCTCCGAAACCCCCATATTAGGCCCAGTCTACAATTACCCCAATTAGCATTCTCTCAACATGTCTGTAATATTTCCTCTATATTCCCCCTATAGAGCTCTCTATCTTTACTTCACAAAATAACTTACTAATTGACGGTAATTGACGGTATTATCATGCTCGACTGCGCCAACATATTCAGGTACCGTTTACAGAGTTACAGTTTAGAATAGTCGTTAAGATTGTCGTAATATATGGTGTCACAAAAGGGCTTCTTTTCCGGTGAAAAAACATAGTTACTACAGGTTGAGAACGCTCTTAGGTTCTCCAAACAAGGATAAAATCTCATTTAGAATACAAGTCAGATATTTAGTACAAAGAAGTCTAGTCCTTTAGTCTGGAGCTATAAAACATGTCGTTATATGGGTAATGGGCGGAGGATCTGAATATTACTGTACTATATAATAATATGAGGATTTGATTCAAGTAATCGCTTAGGATGTAAAATGCTGGATACAGGATAGCCGATGGATCAATTATTCAGATTATATATGTATGTCTGGTTATGATGCCCTCATTTGATATTTCAGAGCACCAAGCCTATGGAAATCCAACGTATGTTGTACAGGAGTAGGGTGTATGCACAGTTTAAAATGGTAAGTGATGAGAGTTTTCGGTTTTGAACACGTTACCGACACTAACAGGGACCAGGCCCTTGAACTGGTTTTAAAGACAGGGTCCTTGTAGGTGCCAACTATCAGATCTTGTTAAAGTAAGAGATCTTCTGAAAGTGAGATGTGTTCTGGGCGGGAGTGACTGAGTGAGCGGGAGACAGCGGGTACCCAGGTGGCAGTTAACTGTAGCTAATACTAACCCCCTCAAAACCAGAGCCCTCACAAATCTTAGGAAAGTTCTGTGGAAATTATACAACTTGTAGTTCTGGTGGAACTACACACAGGATTAGTCAATCAGGAGAGGTAATTCCACACTGATGATTAAGATATATTTATTTGTTGGTTGTTAGGAACACCTGGTGACAGGGAATAGTGAGCCTATCATACCACCAGGTGTCAGTAGGTGATTAGTTACTGTCTACTGATCACCACTATAGTGTGTCTACTGATTTTAACTGATCGATCTGCGGTATTCCAGTATGGTTAGTATTATAGACATAGTGGTTAGTGTTTAATTCTTAATTCTTTTTAAAGCTTTAACCTGTAAAATTCCTCTGAGCCCACAAAGTTAGCCGGTATGGAAATATGCCCGTTTTTAAACAATCTGTAACCTGGATATGGTGTTATATATAGCGACACATAGTCTCGCTGAGTAGTGTGATATAAGGGGAGCTGTATGCGTGATATAGTGTGATATAAGGGGAGCTGTATGTGTGATATAGTGTGATATAAGGGGAGCTGTATGTGTGATATAAGGGGAGCTGTATGTGTGATATAAGGGGAGCTGTATGTGTGATATAGTGTGATATAAGGGGAGCTGTATGTGTGATATAGTGTGATATAAGGGGAGCTGTATGTGTGATATAGTGTGATATAAGGGGAGCTGTATATTGTGTTACTACTGACAGGTGAACAGCTGAGGAAGTAGTTGTATTCTGTGTGGTTAAGGCTCTGTTACTCAGCAAATACCGGTAAATACTAGGTACTATATTGTGGTGGTAAATGTGGTATACAGTGTACACATGCTCTGTGTAGTGTGTATGATACTAGTAACGAGGGAAGTAGTTTCTACTCAGTAGGTATCCCTACTGTGGGGGAGGCAACACTTTTGCAGGAAGTTGAATTAACAGGCCCAAGCCACAATCCGTGGCACACTCACTCGAAAATATCCATGACTTTGATAAAAACCAATAATTTGAAATACGAAGGCTACAAAATTACAGGGCGTTCCAAATTAGCCTGAGAAGTCGTATGAAGTAGAGATGAACCAACCGGAAAACCAAATATCGAATGGAAGGAAGAGGCTGTAAATTAATACAGACAGGTTTTAAATTGGTGGTACGTGGTACCTACTGGTAACTGGTACTGACTTCAGACCTAGTTGGTATCTTGAACGTGAACCTGGTACTGGAAGTGAGAGGGACTGAGGAGTGGGGCGATATTATCTCATATCTGTATCAGCTAGTTGATTCGTGCTGATGAGAATTAATATCAATAATATTAAAATTACAAAGAACCATAGTTTCGTATTGATTACCAAGTTGTAAATTGTGTAGCATCTGGAGCCTTAATCTTCATTAAGATTAACACTATTTATCAGGTTTGATTTCTGCTATGCTATATCAAGAGGGACCCTGTCCCGAAGCCGCCAAACAGCGCAGGGACACTGGACTTTATGATTATTCATTTTATTGGTACTAAGTTACCATTGTGTTATGACATGATGGAAGCCTCATACATGGTGGTGCGAACAGCAAAACGTGGTTATACAATTGACCAGCCAAACTTGCAAACATGTGGTGTCCTGATATAATATAGTAAGATAGTGAAGAGGTTTGGACATGCGCCATATTAAACCATTGTGTGTTGCTATTATACTAGACACTGGGGGTTTTATGGTTCTGTCATCTTACATACATTCAAATTTCAAAGTGGGGTCACGTGGGGTCACGTAAGTAAACTCTGAATGGCAGGATAGACTTATATTTTCAAATTTTGATCTTCAGTATCGGAACAATTATAGATCGTTTACAGATCGTTTCCTGTTGAGTTTCCATTGTACTTGAACTATAGAAGATAATAAAAATATCTTAATAACCAATTATAATCAATTGTTCTTATCATTTCTTTCTTCTTTACAAATAACTATGTTCCTCCTGAACTCAAAACTCCACTCATCGATTAACCGTATCCAAAATGATTACAACATTTACAGAACCATACTGTGTATCAAGTACCCTAGCAATTATCTTCTCCACATCATACCTACACATTGTGTATATTTCCGAGCACAACGGATCTAATCTTATTTACAAGCTCGTGTATAATACCTACTCTATTTAAACTGTTTATCTCCATACTACTGCATACCGTTCTCAAGAGAGGAGCTGAACGAGATTGCTATTTGCTCCTTCATAATATACAGCTATTAGACTTTAAACAGTGGGTAATGGGCTTACAACCTAGGTTTGGAGGTCGGCTCAGTGTGGGGCAGCAATTCACAAAACTCAAACAATCACTGATTGTCTGAGCCACAATTAACTCACAGAGGTAATTGAATGTGAGGTGTTAATCTGAGCCTACTTTAATAGGGTAATAACTTAACGACTTAATCATTCTTTGTCTTAGAAAATATCACGAGAGTAATTATAGGTCGTCACCATGGCAACCCGGCCATTTTGCTGACAAAGAGCATACAGCTCTCATTTTCATAAGAGATCCTGATCTGATAATCTTGTCACGTGATTATATCGGCTCTCAGTTACTGGTACATTTCTTGTCACGTGATAAAAATGAGACTCAGTCATTGGAGCAGATCATTGTGTAGCCTACAAGCGTCAAGCTGTGTTTCAGGATGAAATACCTGGCGTTAAGCCACGCGTACATACAGTTAGACCTACTGAAGATCTGAACCGATCCTTAGTATCATAGTTTACGTAGAAGACAATACACGACTTTGAGTTGAACCCTGACACATATAGGCTACAATATATTATTATGTAAAGTGTCAACTCTAATGTTGGAGATGGCGACACTTTGTACATATCGACAACTTTAGGGAGTTAAAAATGTGAATAATAATTCAAAGGATGTCTGTCAATTCATATCCGATAGCTGTCAACTCGGATTAATCCGCCAACAGTTTGAAAACTTTCACCCTGATAAGAAATTCTGGTTCTCATTCCAGAAAATCCAGGCGTGCTGGTTTATACAGCGGTACCTTGTGAGGACGTTTTCGGAGAAAACCGAAAAGTTTTACAAGTTTAGAATGGTAAACCTGACACGGTAAGGTTGTATATTTACAGGGCCATATATTTTTGCAGAGTTAAACAGAAAATATAGAAAAGTAACAGCACCGGAGGCTCCCACGTGATGTCTCCTCTGACTTCTGATTGGTCAGTTCGTGCTGACGGGGGAATCTGATTGGTCATAGCTTGGCGGTGCTGGAGATATGACATCAATTTACAGTCCTCCTGTTTAACCTAGAATTGCTCGTTAAATGGTAGACTGAGTGGCTCCGTTAGGTTCAACTGCTGGTGGTACAACAAGGAATGATTGGAATGTCTAGGCCCTGCTGAGAAGCTGGAAAAGTGCCAAAACAGACAAAGCATTATTACCTTATAGTTGTACTTCTGATATAGAGAGAGGGGGTGGTGAGGAGTGAAATGCGGATGTTGTCGAGGAAATGAAGGGTTGAAAATGAACGCGGATGGCGGATGTTGTAGATGAAATTGGGAGGGGTTTCCTGAAGTCATAAATGATAAGAATTATTAGTAATGTCTTAAAAGCAAAATCTATTTAAGGTTTATCTGTGTTTCTAAGGGATGCACTTAAGGGTTAAGAATATAAGATTTATCATTCCGTAATAGTATTATAAAATTTATCATGCAGATATTTATCGAGCAGCATAACCAGTATCAAAACAATCGTCACTCAAGATTCAAGCGAGAAGCCATGTTCAGTGGTCCGCAATCACAAAATCACGCATTAGAAGAGATTGAAAAAAAGAGCATTGCAGCAAGGTACGCATTCCAGATTCCCAAGCATTTCCTGGTGTTTCACCATAGCCAAACTAACCTATCTCCCTTATTTCCTGCTGCCGCTGAAGCGTCATCGTCCAGACTTATTCTAATGGTCACATGATTCAGTTCCAAGTTTTTTTTTTAAACCATAATTTTATTTATCTAACTTAATTTAGAAAATACATAATATTAATATACAACAGGGTGTTCCAAAGAGATAAGAAAAGCAAAATAAAACACACCAAAACAAAACACTCTCAAACTTTCTTTGGGACACCCTATATTAAAAAAGATTTTAATCCTATATTATCTATTCTAAAACCAAAATTATCCCCTTAAAACCCCATGATGCCCCGAACCCTTGCCCAATGCTTCACACACACCTGTACCGAGGTTCGGTATCTGCATACCCAGGTAACGTTGAGTTAGCCAAGCAGCCGGTAGTTGTTGCGCCGCCGCGCGCTGACGAGATCTTATTGCAGAGCCCGCGGATGTCATACGCTTGAGAAGATGCCACGTGGTATATGTTGACTCCACCGAAACAGCGTCGTCCGGATTCAAAGACAAACTTGTTGGGATCGTCTCCGCCGTACTTTCTGAGAAGCTGGGGAGGATAAGGAATGTTATGTTAGATCCAACAATAGATTGAGCTGCAGTAAGTTAAAATTTAAAAGTCAGTTGCCTCTAGACAATACATGTGTTTAATCCAGACGTTCTGGTATTGACAACATACATAATATGTACTACTTCGGTCACATCTCAATATAAGTCTGGATAACTTCGATCTTGGAGATATTTTTGGCAGTCAATGTAGTGAGTAGTCAGTCACGTCTAAATATATCGAACTATGGATTAATCAACTCAACCTATTCTGATCTTTGACTAAATTTTGTAGACAGTCAAGTTTGTGTTTGCCGAAATGATGAACCAAACGTCATTATACGCCAGTCATTTTAGATCTCATTGTTGAGATTGAGCCCACGTGAATTTAACCTAGAAGTGCAATTTCCCACGGAGACAAGAAACAAATCACGTGATGCGCCGCATTACACTTCATGGCTCGTACCACGTGACACACCTCCGCAGTTCATTACAATGGAATTTATTAGTTACAAAAGGAGTTATACATACTACATAGGTGATAGGCGCGTCCAAACTTTTATTGGCTTTATTAACCCATTATCTTACACAATGGTAGCTCAAGACAAACGATAATTGGACAATTACTAATGACATTCCATTTCATTTTACATAGTAATCCTTCTACTTCTGTGATGAATAATTGAATAATGATTGGATGACTTCCGTGACTGATAACAATTGTCGCTCTTTTATAATTTCGCACCTTTTTCAGACGTTACGAGTAATGTCATCTTCAGAACTAGGTATGTGACGTCGTTACGGTGTACTGATGACAGAGGTAGAACCATCAACCATTACGTCTTTACACCCGATCTTATCTTAGGTCTGAAATCACTGATCAACCTGGTATGAACGTTCTGGCAGTCGATACGTAACTCTCGAATGCAAAACTTCCAGATGTGCTTCCTTGTGTATGTTAATCTAAAAAAGGAAATCGGCCAGATACACAAAATGTAGGTCATTTTCGAGCAAAACAAAATGTCTTATCGTTGTTCCTTGTAACCCTGATACTATGACTCAACGTCTCAAATTGCAATTTATGATCTTACTATTTCAAAGCACTCCCCATATCGTCTCATCCCCTAGAATGATATCTAAACTCTTCTCCCCTCATTTCACGTGCAAGGAAACACTACAACAAACAATGAGTACTCTGTTGTAGTAGTAGCGCCAACCATCTTATACTCTGACAACCCTCCTCCTTCTCCTCCTACACGTAGCCCTCCTTCCCTACACGTAGCCCTCCTTTCCTACACGTAGCACTCCTCATCATAAACCCAAACCTAGGCTACAATCTGCTCGCAAATCCCAAGTTTTAAGTGATAAAACTCATAAACCTGAAACTCGAGACATGACCGGAGCACGGCGGGTTTTACACCCAGCTCCCGGGACTCCAGATTATCTAAATTAATTAACCACGGGACAGGCCCGTACACTGTACACAATATACCTGCTGCGTCACGTGACACCATGTTCCTGGCAGGACCATCTGTTTAGCTTTTTAAAGTGTCTATATTCTGCCGAGTTGCCCGGGGAGCTCGGGGGTTCCCTGAACAGTGAACTCTTACAGGGACCATAACTTTAAAAAGACGGGGTGAAACATCCGCGGAAATGATGTATATATTTTTATATTCTGCATGGTCTTTACATCTGTCAGAGACTTGTCAGCAACGTCAGAATATGTTATATTATATTTACTAAAAACCGGCAAAAACCATCCCCCAACAAAGATGCCCGGCTAAAGAACTGAGATCTTAGTCGACTTCCTGACGGGCTTCGAAAACTTATGCAGTTATAATTCTTTTTTCTGTATGAAAGGGTCACGAAGTATTATGCAGTTGCGGTCGGGGGATTGAGCCCGCGAAAATGGATCTAACATCAGAGGGTTTCTGCAACCACAGACCGTATGGCTTGCAGCTATAATTAGGGTCAACCAATAAAACCATATAATGAGACCTGTCAGTAGTAGCTGCTTACTCCTCTTTCTAAAACTAAGGACAAGGTGTTTAAATGTTTTCTCTTTGCTTTGTTTATAAAATGTCATACTCAGCTTCCGGTAGAAGGAGGACTCCGATGGTATATACAGTAGTATATTGGTTGAATGAGTAATACATTAGTCGTACTATTAAAAGAGAAGCCATGATTATTCCGAACCATACAAGTATCAAAGCGAGAATAATTAATAAACATTAGTATTATAAAGTGAAAATTAACCAAGGGATTTAAATTTTGAGAAATAGAGTTTGAAAAGAGCAGTTTGAGTTACCTGAATAGGCCAAGTGCCGTAATATTGCGGTATCTTGTGGTCGGTTGTGATGGTGACAAACTTCTGCTCTTCGTAGAAATACAACCAGCCGGGTCCGTTGTACTTCGTTTTGATGATCTTCGGAAGTTTTACTTCGAACTTGTGCATATCTGAGGAAAATTGATTGTGAATTACTTAATTTCATTGATCGAAATGTGTGTAAATTAGGTTAAAATGATACATTTTAAGTTAATACTGATAATAATGAAACGGCTTTAGGTATTTATCAAATTAGGTTAAACCTAGGATTAGATTTAAAGCATATTACTTGTATAATGTATACGGTATTAAGTGTCAATATAATCATCACACTAATCTTATTGAAACATTATCGCTCAATATTACACTCTGATAATTTACGCAAAGTTGAAAATTAAGCCCAGCCGGCAGTTTTGGTATGCTAGTAATAAAGTTATAATAGTATTAATTAGACAGGATAACAAGGTACTTAACCAGCTGCTTAAATTGTAACTTTCTGTTCGGATAATTATCATGGTAATTATATAATTATCAGATAATTGGTTTGGTGACGGCTCGCTGCTCGCACCTATTGAGTCCTCCTGCCATTTCTATTTACAAAGTTGCCACTTCGCACTAAAGTCATCAGTAAATCCGTCATATGTTTCTATCTCTGTACGAGTACTAATTCTCATCGGTTGAGATTAGTAATAATGTAGTAGTACAAGACATAGAGGTATTGATAATTATACTTTAACGTTCCCTTATCTGTTCACACATGAATAATCAACCATGACGAGTAACTTCTCTGATCTATGTTCTTGATAAATCCTTACATACATTCCGCAGCTTTACACTGACTCAGAACGGTGTAAAACACTGCCTCTTCGGTCAGTTCTTTATCACTTTATTCCATGACATTAAGGGATCCATGAAAGTAAGAAATATTGACTCTTAATTTCTTAATTTCACGCTCCTGAAACATTTATTTACTCCTCCATCCAATATCCCTGCCTTAAATGTTTCTTAATTTCCTACTTCTCAACCCCTTCTTAATTTCATGGTTTCTTAAATACACGACTTTCTCAATTTCATTGATTAAGTTTTATTCTTCTGAAGCCTTCTTCAGTTGTAGTGGACTGTTGAGTCTTGGAGACGGTTAAAGTGTAGAAGTTCGGAGAGGGGCAAACTTCTAGATTATTCTGGATGTGTGCTCAGAAATCATTACTTGTTGTTATATAACCCTATTCAAGTCCCTATTCGGCAACATCCTCAAAAGGTTACGAAATATACCCTCAATATTACCGGCACTTTTAAATGTACTTCTGACACCTTGACATTTAAAAGCCACGTACACACACAATATATATTCAATAATCCATTGTATGCATGCAGATTAAAAAATAATATTTACTACGATTTCTCTGTCGTCCTAACTTATTACAACTCGAACTGAGCAGCACTAAACAGTAAATCAAAGTAATACCAGCCAAAATCTTGACGCCTCGTGCGCCGTGTAGAGCCTGTGTGCTGTTTAACAACATGTCAACTTTATCATTTCAACACAGTTTACTGTCCAAGCAAACTCACAGATATAGCAATGATTATATTATGTGCTGTATTGTGATGTTCGATATAACATGTTGGTGTTGGATCAAACATACAACCTAGACATATAATCATGTGTGATATAAACTGTGTAGACCACACTCGATACCTGTTTTTTACTGAATCATATTCAAATATTCCCACATATTCTCATATTCACATGAATCACTTTCAAGCCCGTTAAGTAGTAGTGTGAAAATAGTTAAAATTCACAAGGTCTTCTCGGACGAATGACCCCTTCTGAAATATTTAAATTGGTCTCGACGGAATTTTCCCGTCTGTTAGGCATGCATAGTGTACATCTTATTGACATTTTCCAAACACAAATTTAAAAAGCTGAGTAGAGGAAATGGTCAGGTGATTACTGAATCCTCTAGGGAGTAGCTAAGGATTCATTATTGGATCTATGCAAAATTACACATCTGTGCAATGTCTCCTCGGTCAACTCAGCCGAATGATAGGAAACTTGATTGAGGGTTAAATGAGGATCAAAAGATCAAGAATCTTCTTAGGATACCACTTCAGTACATCTACATAGTACTATACTAATACCGAATCCTTTTTAATAATCATTAATCTAATATCTAAGCTATAATATTCTACCCGGAGTTGAAAGAATGAGCTCCAGAGTCCAGATTATTTAATCCTATTAACTATAAGGAAAGATAAATTCCTTGAAATCTACCTACAACACATCACTACACATGGCCACCACCACCACAGAGGATAGGAGAGAGAGCATGTAAAACCGTGTTTACATAAGTCCCCACAATACATACTGTAACTCTCAGTAGTAGATTAGTATAGTGACTATTGATTGTGTGTGTAGTTACAATATAATGACATGATGTAAGGTGTTTTTCTATATAATACCGGTGGGATGTCAGTACCTGTTAAACAATAGTAGAGCGGGCGTGGCCTCTCTCTCTCTCTCTGAGCCGCGATTATACTTGCAGCAATTTGTCTTTTGTTAAGTTTACACACAAATATGAAATACAATCAATGACTTTGTGCGCTTGGAAATCCTAATCCAATTACAAGCGTGGTCTACGTTGAAATCATCTGAACCACTGTGTGATTCACAACGTAAATTTTATCTAATCACACCTCAATCAGTTATTAGTGATTACGTAAGTAGCAGGTTTCAGACGAGGGGATATGTTCCAAACAGTTCCTACAAACGGCATACCCAGGGTAACCCAGGCGCCAAGCAAGACCTGGTGACGGAGCTAAAATAACGATTAGCACTATTTGATCATAAGGTTTAAAACCTCCCAAAGCTTGGTAAACTCCGTAGTGAATTCTTCGAATGCTTTGTGATGATATTTCTATTAACAGATAGTGTTTATGAGAATAGATCATGCTTATGGGATTCAAACTACGGTATCAGAAGCTCTACTTCTGTAATCTACGTGACGATTTAGTAGGTATCATCATTTTAAAATTCCCAGCAAGTATATTTAGAAGTTATCGTAATGATAATTGGATGGGCAGTATAATATGTTCCTGAAAGTTCAGTATGAGCATCTTCTATACAATAAACCGCAAAAGATCTTATCCAGACTCTAAAGTTTCGATTCGACTGTGAAAAACAAAATGTCACGCCTTGAGAAGCTCGATAGAGCTCATACAGAAACCCATTCAATGGCATACAGACGTTTTCTAGCTCTTTGCAACATTCTCAAAGAAGTTTTGGCTTCAAACCCATATCCAGTCTCAAACAATAAGCGTTAACTTTCATTATTATATCTCTGTGATGTTAAGTCTAGTTAGAAGTGTCTTTGAGCATCTCTCCCTCGGTTTCTTCTAGTCTATCTAGTCGAACTTACACTGTCCACCCTGCAGTCTACACTTCTCCAATCTCCATCCACATTACGTCGTCCCATAGCAACTAAAGAAAGTTCACCAAAAAGTTCACAGTTTTCAAGTACCACGTGACACGTCAGATGACGTAATTCAAGCGGTCTGATCAGCTGAGGGGGGTGATTAAAGGGGAGAGCCTGGGTAATCTTAATTTGAGTAGGCAAGGGGAGGGCTATTACAATATAACAGGGGCTCATGATACTATGATAGCCAACATTCCCAGATTTAGAAAATGTACATAAGGTGAAATATGTACACTGTTACACGCTCACTGAAAACACAGAGAAATTTCTTATTTCTAGACCCTACTATTCGCTAAATAACATTTCTCATACCACGACGAGACTTGCCTTGCATCGTCTATTTTGATATATTTCAACGAGTAGTCTCTATGAGCAAATAATTAAAACGTGTCGCATAATTTGGGGGATTTAGGAGCTTCCAAAAAATTCGTACCAGCCGGTTTCATCCTACAGCTCAAAATTTGAGGAAATCATACGTCGAGAAATTCTGAGCAGTTAAATAACAGTCCTGATTCATGATCAGAATATGTCCCTGAAGAATGAGTCATGATGCGGACATCTATCTAGAGCTTCAATAAATTGGCCTTTGAGGCTTCACCCGCATATTTAAGAGACATTTCAAATTGCAGTCCGTCCACGTGGAGAGAAATTGTGATAGTCACGTGATGAGATTTTTACTGAAGCTTTGGATATTGACGTTTTACGCGATGAAGTACAGTTTAGAATGCCAAAGTAAGGATCGGAGTTTGATGAGCAATTTAATTTGACAGGGAAATACAGAATATTATATTGACCCACGTGCACAGCTGCTGATTTGAGTTGTGCTACTCTTGACAGTACTCCGACGTAAAGGAGTCTCCCTATGTAGCTGCCGAGACTTCTGTGGAATTTTGGCAGAGGTCCAATTAGACTTTTTAAAAGAGAGAGAGAGAGAGAGAGAATAACTCTTAATGAGTTGTTGACGGACAGGTTTAAACGCCAAGTCAAATGAAGCTGGTTTAGAAGCACTTTCAACTAAATTTCATGGTAGTATTAGGATGTATCTAGTTTGATAATAAGGCTTCACATTTGGAAATAAGAGAGCTGTGTTGAGGAGTATATGAATTGAACTGTAAGTTTTAAAATGAACTTTAAGCTACCTGACTTCAACCCAAGATATTGTTCATGTACCTAATAATATTTATTTCTCGGATTTAGTAATAATAGGGCATTACGACATCCATCATTCATAAAAATAATAATTGCTAAGTTTTATTATACCTATCCAATAACGCGGGTTTTATTAATGAAGCTCCCGTTGCAACAGACAGGGAGCCGCACAAAAGCACCTTGGCCGGACAAAAGCACCCTGCATACGGAAATGCAAAGAACAATGCGCACAAAGTGTGAACAGTGAAGTGCAGTGCACAGTCCACAGTGCAGGTCGCAGGGCAAGTTCCACAATTACTTCACAGATCAGATATATGCTCACTATTCTAGAAGTTTTAAGATTAATTTAGTCTCAGTTTGACTAATATGTTCAATGTTCATCAGGAGGATCCTCTGACATTGTCACGTGATATTACGTGTAAGTGAGATATTCATAATATGAACCCGACAGGGAATTAACGGGATAGTATGTGTTTTATCGACGAGTGCAGAGTTTTGGAGAAATACAGTGCGGCTGTTTGACTAGATAAAAATAGACTCGGCGAGGAGGAGAAAAGAAACATTTGGTTAGACGTGTTAAACAAAGAGTGAATAAGAGAAGCTTACTTATTATCACAGTTTTGCAACACAGTTACTTATAATTGGTTCCTTGTACAGGGTGGACCTAAAATTGTACCAATTGCACGTGTTACCTCACGTATGTTGGGCCAAACTGTACAATATTTAATCTTTGCAGTATTAAAATCGCCAATATTCTGATACGACCAAGTTTTCACAACTTTTGGCTCCATTACCAACTTGACCTCTGTTACCACCTCACCAAGTTCTCAAGTCACAGTTTCCCTACTCATGTCCTATCAAAGGGCACTAGTTGCAGCACTATTGGACCGTGTTTCACGCCTTAACAGGTAACACTTCAGTCCAGTGGTTTTTAAAGTTCAGTCTAAAGTTCTAACTCTCTCCAGTTTAAAGTTAAGTCTAATTGATGGTATAAACTTCAGAGGTACACGTAATCCAGAGTTAACTCAAAGTATTCGCTTCTTTTGAACATTCTGATAAAGGAAATGCCTAACATGACTGATCGTGATTCCTCAAAGACCGCACTCACTTGGCACCAAGCAGTGCAACTATAGGCGTCAAATTACGAAGTCATACGATCATGACATCAGGAACGTTTTAGAAAGTTTGGAAACAAATTACCCGCAGTCCAAACGGACCGGAACAGTTTAAAAACAAGGACAAACACACGAACCTGCCCCGACGATAGAGTTAAAGTAGTCAAGCCACACGTCCGTCTGGGCTTGGGTCTCGCACTGGAGTAGGTAGGTGTCGGCGGTGTTTGTGGGCTTGTTCGCTACCATCAGCGTGATTCCTGGAAAAGAGCGTTCAGTTTTTGAGTTTTAAAGTTATAAATAGTTGAAGATTTCTGTGTAGGTCGGTTTAAGTGCTGATGTACAAAAGGTCGAGATATATTCAAACATTAATAGGTGTCAGACCCAATTCTAACTTGACAAAGTCATTTCCAAGACGTGATAATCTGATATATTAGCACTTAAGCTCATTATATTGACTCATTCAACACTCTAGTTCAATGTTACATTGTTCAGCTCTGAAAGAACCCATTTTGCAGTTCGGCTAAATAGGACGACAGACTGAGACTTCTACGACAGCCACCCCATTACTACCGACATGGGTTTGGTGGCGAATATGGATCGCTCCAATTAGACATAATTAGGTGTAATTTCCTGGAGCCCACATGATCTCGCAAATACATTATCGATAAACCATGTAAGTATGGTGCGGCATACACATTTTAAAGTCCCATTATTATCGGTGGCTGGATTATTATTTATCATTAGTTCACGGACGAAATAAACGAAGTGACATAATCCAATTTCTACTTTTATAGAATCAGATTTGTGGCAATCACTGCAGCTATTTTAAAAACAACAGTTATTCAGATCAGTTACACAGCAAATTTCCTGATTAAGTTTGAGAATAAATTAGCAGAGAAAACCGCCTCTCAACCTAAAATATCAACTTGTAATTCTGGTTTCAATACAAATTGATGGACAATGCACTTACCATAGGTTTTCTTGTCGATGGTGTATTTGTCAACAACACACAAGTAATAGAGGGGGATAGCAAGACGTACTTCTCCCTCTCGGTTCTTCCGAATAACTAAACTTGTGTAGTTTGAGTGTCCTGTAAGGTTGAATATTAAGACTGACGATCAATCACAATTTTCAAGGGCTGAGAATGTTATTTTAACATGAAAAACTTTTATATGCCTATAAAACACTTATATGTTACCAGATATTCCCTTGGTATGCAATGCTATTAAAAAATTAAAAACTGTCAAACAACTTACTCATATTGTCTGTGTCAACCTCTGGTGGTACAGGTTGGTCTGATTTCTCCAGGATAGCCCATCTTGATTTCCATTTACTCTGAAAATATTATAAGATCGGTTAGAACACTTTTCAAGTCAAAGGTGGACGTGAATACAATTTAAAATAGACTCTCAATTATTGAGAAATTGTGACCAAAGAAGGTACGAGACACAATTGTGTCCAGTGTCATCAACATACAATTATAATGTAATCAGAATGTAATTAGAATGTAATTAGAAACACAGTTCACGATAATTCAATTTTTACTATTTCTAGGTTACAGATAAATAAAATTTACCTTTGCCTCCTTGAAGTCGATATTGCCTTGATGTACTATATGTCCGTCCATCCGATGAGGAAACTCCTAGCCTATATTTATAAGTATTCTCTAAATCTATACATATGCTAGGGAAAGTACAGTAGGTGTTATAATCTATGATACAGTTTATGAACATTACATTGAAAACAAACTTGACACTCTAGATCAAGATTTAAAGTCAACAGACAAAATACTATTATATATTGGAAGTCTTGTGGCTAATCTATAAGTTCCCAGTGGACCAAAAATCTTGACTCTGGGATTGCTGAGTTGAAGATCCCATTATGTCTGAAATGATTAAATATATGTATATGAAAGAAGATTTTCATGTAAAGTTCGGGAGACATCCTTATAAGGACTGCAATTTCTGAACTAACTGTTAGAATGTGGGCCTTATAAACTGTTTGGTGATTCTGAAGATAGCAAAATACTTTTATTAGTCACTGTCTTCTAATGACCCAAACAAACTTTTGTGCCGATCTTGGGACTAGAACAAGGGTGGTTATAATATTGTCAGCCAACACTTTAATTGCCTCATGTAACAATGAAACAAGAAATTCAATGAAAGCACCTCATCTGCATCCAATTGGAAACATTTCCATCGTCTTTAATAAAAATTAAATGACAGTGATGATATTTTAAAATTTTATATTAGAGCAGCATAACAACTTAATAAAATATGCACAAAAATAATTCAAGACACATGATCACCTGAAAAGCTCAGGTTAAACTCAGAAAAGATGCAGCAGCAGAGACTTGTCATAAGCACGTTTCAAAAGAAACGTTTTCAGATTCATTTTAGGACAGACAGTTAACTCGTTGAATATAATCATGGGATATTGCATCTAGGGTTGCAAATTTCTCCTGGTAGCAAAGTAAAAAAATATGGACATAACACATTTGCTTTCCAACATTTGCTTCCAACTCAAAAGCTGTAATCAATGGATGTTTTGGGTTTCCAGCCGCTTAACTACAATCAAACTTTGTCAGTCTTTCCGCTTCACCACATTAGTGAAGGAAACGGAGCAAGATACTAGCAAGTTGGGTAACCGTTGTGTTGAATAACAAAACTTAGGCAATTTTATAATTTACAAAATGAAAATCCCAACATTTTGGAAGAGCAAACATTTTTCATAGGCTTGCCTAGTATAGCTTACATTGGAATTGGCAAGAAAACATGAACAATTTCAAGAAAACAACAATTATATTTAGTATCAGTTAAAGCAGACAAAAATATATATTATAAATATAACTAGCACAAACTTTAGACCAGATATCTTAGGGGACTTGGAGTAGCAAAAGAGTGAACGGAAGGTATATATACTTTTAACAAAAATACGTCGAAAAGAATCAAGGATTTTAAACGGATCTGTAAATGATAGTCATTTTTGGTATGTTTCGGACGAAGTATTAGGAAAGATCGAGGGATTAAATTATGCTACTAATAAAGAGAAGCACAATGAATATCTTGTGTGTAATCCTCATGTTGCTAAAAAACGATTTATCAACTTATATTGTAGTGGAAAGTATGTAAATTAGATTCATTTTAACTTGGTTGTTTAGGCTAATAGATTAAAGATAATTTTAAAACTTTAGTAGATATATTTTTGATGATGTGTGATGATGTTTGTGTCATTATATTTTGATTTGATTAGGGTGATACAGGATTGGAGAGTGCAGACTGCAAAGTTTACACACCCACCCTTGCCTCCTGAATTCTTGGTTGGATAGACATTTATGCAAACTTGTCCCTTTGTTAAATAAAAGAAGTAGTATTATTTATGTCTGGAGTTAGCTTCATTCAATAATAACAATATCAATATAACCAATATCAATATCAATATCAGACTAGACTATCGAATAAATATTATTCTCTCCCCAATAAATTTTCACAAAAAAATAAATAAGAAATGTTAAGGTTGGATATGTTTTTGATGCTAAATTACTATGTTTATTTTCTTGTTTCAGAAATTATTTAATAAAACAATTATTTATTTTTATGGCACAATCAAACAATATCAATAATGTATAAATTAATAAAGGCGTGAGGAGGGTTCAATAAGTGCCAAAGGTTGTAGCGCGATGCACTACTGGGTCGCGCGCGCATCAAATAATGCTTCTCGCAACCACAGATTGACGTATGCAGATCGGTGAGTTGCGAAGGATTGACATCGTGAATCAATGCCGAAGGCCACTGCTTGTTTTTGGATTTTACTCGTTTTCGCGCGCCGCTTTCTTCTGAAGGCAATTGCTACGACGTAGCGCGCGCCGGGCCAGACCATTAACAATGGTTAACCTGTCATTCCGCCTTTACTACTATGATAATAACAATACTTATCTCTATGATTATAAACATAAATATAATAGCCTGAGATCCCCAGCTAAGAAGCTACTTTAACCAATAACCATCCACTACGTCAATATTTGACGCGGATGTTACTCCTCTAAATTTCTTCGAAATAGCGCGCCGCCTTCTCATTTCTGCCTTGAAATGGCCCGAGGCTTGCTCTAAGCTCTATCCAGAGCCCTTGCAGTGGCGCGCGCCCGCCCCTTTACTTAATTCACGATGTCAATCCTTAACTTCGCATCTCGCCGATCTGCATGTGGTTGCGAAAAGATGCGCGGTTCACCTAACCATGTGCTTTCGCGCCACTTCGGGCGCGCGCTACTGCAAGCGCAAGGGCTCTGGATAGAGCAAGATGCATTACTGGGCCGCATTTAGCCTGTCATTCCGCCGAATCTCTATTTATCTATGTTTATTAACATGATTGACGGATGTTACTCGTCTAAATTTCTTCGAAGTAGCGCTCGCCGCTTTCTTCTCAACATGGCAAGTGCTACGAAGTATAGCGCGCGCCGGGCCAGACCATTAACAATGGTCAATGAACATGGTAGCCTGAGGTCCCCAGATAAAAGATGCGCGGCGCGGCCCAGTAGTGCATAGCGCTACAACGCTTTTTACTTGTGAAACAAGCGCGCCCGCAGTGGCGCGAAAGCACATGGTTAGGTGAATTGGTTTAGCAATAAAACCAAAGTCACGTGATCGATAGGCGCGGCCGCGAGCTGTTGTGTGTCGGAATTAGTAGAAAAAAAATTTAGAAAATAGATTTATGAGTTATACAGAGTTATGAGTTATACTTATATAGTGCAAGTAAAGTAAAGGGTCGACATCAATAATAATAAATTGTAAATCATTTAATCAAATTTTCAAATTTCAGACGCTGCATGACTCTAGACTCAGTGAACCGGCCCATCATCTCATCTGATTACCTGGGGACCTCAGGCTATAATGTTCATAGAATAGAGATTCGGCGGAATGACATGCTGAGCGCGGCCCAGTAACTCATCTGACCGGCGCGGCGGAGGGGGTGGATTTGACACACGTTGCATTCCCCGTTTTGCACGCGGAGCTGGCAACGTGTGTGGCAAGGGTACATTGTATAGTACATGTGAAGTTGAACAGTGAAGCAGTACAATTACTGACAACTACAAAAAAAAATTGAACAAGTTTTTAAAAACCATAATACAATATCTTCATCTAAATGTAATTCACAATAAACTTTTGAGTTACTCAAAAATTAAAAGACAGTAAACGAAGTTAAATAATCTGACAGTGAAAAATTTCACGACTAATTATCAACAAGATTGAGAATATTCTTACTCTTAGTGCTTAGCAATAAAGTGCAGGAGATAGTGATCTAATATAAAGAAAGACACAAGAGAAATAAACGCCCAAAAAGGCATTATTTTCATCAATATAACTATGATTAGATTGTTAATAAAGCGTAGAATTTAAAATGTGCTTCTCTAAACTTTTTTCTCTACAAATTAACCATACTTTCAGATATGCCCATAAAATTCACCCTACATGTTTATACTTTATTGTTTACTGATCACAAACATTCTGTCCATAATTTATTCACAAATCCGTTATAGCATATAGCAATAAAATTCAAATCAAATATTATTAAAATTTACAGATAACAATACATCTCATTACTCAAATTAATTGCGTGTTCGCTCACTTTTCTTAGATGACCCCAATCGTCACGTCATATCAGCAAAGAGGTTGGCTCTTTGTCCAGAATTTCAGTGCGTATATTCGATGATTATACTCATTTTGAAGACATGCTCACGCTCAATGCTCTGTGCTCACGACTGTCATGTTTTAATAAGAACCATTAAGAGATCAATCTCGGAGATATTTATATTTCCGGTAGACGAAACCTCCTCTACACTCTATCATATTTTCTGTGCCAGATATTTTCTGTAGCAGAAATATCAGATACAACAGATTCAGGATTGTAAAAGAATAGACAACAGCTACAATAGATGGTCAGAGTTGAAAAAGGGGTACTAGACGCTGCCTTGACAGCGAAGTCAAGAATTAAGTCCTTACAGTACTATGGTACTATTTGTACCGTACACTCAGTAAAGTCTGGTAATCGTAAACTCATCTCGCTACAATGTCTGATCCGTTGTCCGGACGTTTTCTGACTTGTATCGTGAATGGACTACCCTGAAATCGAAGATAATAAGCAACACATACAATAGAAATAAATTAAGTTAAAGATACAAGACGTAAAAAGACGAGAAATCAATCCCCAAAATGACATCGCTTCATTAAAAACGGGATTTTTATAATAATTATGCTTCCTTAGCTTAATCACAGAGCAGTGCGAATTCATTACATCAAAGCAATTAAATAATGTTATCGTTGGTGAGCCGACGGTGATGTCAAACAGTGATCACGTGACTCATAAACGCGCGTACAAATTCATTAGCTCGATTATAATTGATATAAAAGCCACTCATATCTATTCGGTGTGTCATTCATTTGATAAACGCGAAGTTTACCTTGATATGCTCGTCCTCCCACTTGATGTTGATAGTGTACTTTCCAGCTACTTCTGGGTTGTATCTACAGTTGACGGTCCGTTCTGCGCCCTTCCACATGTCTACTCGAAATTTGTCTTTAGGTCCGTTTACTCGCACACCTGTAATAGAGAAGGTCATAATTTTCCGCTTTCAATCTCGTACAGATTAGATAAAGAATTCACAGGCCCTAGTTCAGCAGCACTGCACAGTGACCTGAAAATAACGTCTGTCTAAATAAAACTCAACTATAAAATGTTATACTTACTTAGTGTACCATGTCCAGCGTCTCTGGTGAAGACTTGGAAATCGCCCTGATCACCCACAAAACTGTCCATCAAGCCCGGACCCTCTGCCCATATCGCTTCCGGGTTACACACACGCACTTTAAAGGGAGAGTTTGGAATGTGGGATCCGTTGAAGTAAACGTTCACTAAGTACCTGAGATTATCATTCGTTATCAGCAGCGAAGTACATTCTCAGGAATGTATACACATAATACATATTATACAGACGTCAGACATAAACAAATAATTTATTTTGAATTGTAGTTGACGAAGTGAGAGTCTCCACTCAGTGTGTTAAAACATAATTCTTTGTCGACGTTTCGGCTACATGCCTTTGTCATAGACAGGACGTATTGATAACTTACATAGCTGCAAAGTTACAATGTTAAAATAATCTATTAATATTACGAAATATTACAACAACAAATAACATCTTGAAACCCATACAATGAACAATACAAGTGATAACGCGAATCAACCACGTACTCATTACATAGAATCCACATACCCCAAATACAACCGGAAAAAATCGCGAAACAACGATCACAAATTTTTTCAAAAGAAACATATATAACGGCTAAAAGAATCCACACCGCATCAAGCCGTGAACAACCTCATAGAACTACAAACATTTTACCAAGATAGCTCCTTCATAAAACTGAGTAATCAAAAATGATTTAGGTTAATAAGTTCAATATTACATTAACTTCCAACAAAGTGACAGCAAATGCTACCAGTGCGATAAATCCTGCATGATCAAAAACATTTGCTACCAATTAATATGCCAGATATGTAATAAGTCCTACATTGGGGAAACTGGTAGGTTTAAAAGAAGTAGAGCCTGGGAACATTACAAATCAGTAAGGGATGGCAACAAATCTACGGCCATGGGAAAGCACTACCTAAAGGAGCATGCAGACATTTCAATGCCAAACATACCGTTTCGGTTTATAGTTCGCAATAGATGCAAAGATTATGTGGACCGTCAATTGTGGCAGTCGGTTCTAATAAAACGTGAAAACCCAGAAATAAACACTCAATTATCTGAGTCCGTAAATGAAGGTGATTGGATAAAATATACTCGGAAGTTAATGTAATATTGAACTTATTAACCTAAATAATTTTTGATTACTCAGTTTTATGAAGGAGCTATCTTGGTAAAATGTTTGTAGTACTATGAGGTTGTTCACGGCTTGATGCGGTGTGGATTCTTTTAGCCGTTATATATGTTTCTTTTGAAAAAATTTGTGATCGTTGTTTCGCAATTTTGCCGGTTGTATTTGGGGTATGTGGATTCTATGTAATGAGTACGTGGTTGATTCGCGTTATCACTTGTATTGTTCATTGTATGGGTTTCAAGATGTTATTTGTTGTTCTAATATTTCGTAATATTAATAGATTATTTTAACATTGTTACTTTGCAGCTATATAAGTTATCAATACGTCCTGTCTATGACAAAGGCATGTAGCCGAAACGTCGACAAAGAATTATGTTTTAACACACTGAGTGGAGACTCTCACTTCGTCAACTACAATTCAAAATAAATGATTGACCCACTCATAAGAGCAAAAAAAGATTACCAATAAACAAATAATGTTGAGGATAGCTCTTAGAATAAACTAGAGTTCAATAAAGCCTGCACTATTGATAGCTACATAACTCTCTGAACCATCTCCATCCTTTAACCGCAATAACATTGCCGCAATAGCATTGCCGCAATATACTATTATTTGATTATTGTGTAAACTGTGTCCATCTACAAATACATAGATATATTTTCTGTGAAAGTATGACAAAGCGACCCGAACTCTTTAACCGTCATGTGCTAGCAACCTATCAATATATCACATTAAAAGTTGACCTTTTACAGCGTGACATGTCAAAACACTTGTCACGTTTTGTTCGTGTCTAGTCGTCTAATATTAATATCAGATTTGCAAATTCGCTTCCCTCAATCATCTGTAGATCCGCAGTGAGTTTTATAGTGTACCAGTTACGTCAATATTTAATGGTTAATTTGAACATTTGCAATATAATACGCTGTTACGCAGATCATTGGGAACTAATCAGAGGATAATACGCACCCTCACTGTTTGTTTTTGGATGAAAGCATCACTCTTAACGATTTGAGCAGTGAGGTTGAAACAAAGTTCGTATCCAAGACACACATTATATCATACACTGTGGTTGAGAGTATTGAAGATCGCGACTACAGTGCATAGGAGAAATAAAATGTTCAACTTGTTATATATATAGATATACTATACGCTATGCGACTCCTAAACAGTGCTCCGCTAAATTACATACGTTATCAGAAATGCACTGTTTTGTATTACGGAGCGTGTAATAGATACCGTACAGCTAGAATCTGAAACAGCATCACGAATCACGTAATGCTGTCTGAGGTACCAGTTGTATGTGCTGCAGTATGTGACCTATCTGGTAGGTTTTCTATAATCTGAGATTGAAAAGGGTGTATATTTCTATAGGTTGGATAAAATTCATTTATATTATAAAATTTGTTGGAGAAACCACTGTTATTTACGTGGATTAATAAAAACTTTGTAAAAGAAGATAGAGTTTATTGCAGAAGATGATTAAGGTCCTTAAGAGTATTAATCTTATCACACCTATGCGGGGTAAAGCAACAGTTACATTGCTTTTCAGAAAACTAATCCTCAGGGTGCTTTCTGCTCCGATTAGAGTGACCCACCTTTAACATAATATCATCATGATGAATAATGAATATTGTGAACTCGTATTTTATCATAAATCGTCAAGATCAATATTTTCAATACTATCTAAATGGCTGCCAGACTTTGGGGCCGGAGTGTTATGATCTACCATATACGTCATCAAGTAATTAACATGCAAGCTTGAAGCTTGTGGTGCATAATTAGTGATGTGATCCATGGATTGGATATAATTGACCTAGAAATGGGCTAGATCTGGGGTAGAGTTCATATGACAACTCTGTACATAGAAGCTACAAATTAAGAAATGAACATATTGTTTTAAATTGAGACAATGTATTGGCTGGCTATAAAATGTTAAATCGATTAATAATATAATACTTCAGAATACAACAAATTACTCAATATTATTACCAAAGTATTTCGCAACAGCGAACAAGTACTCAATATTTGTTGGGTATGTCGTGTAGAAGGAACAAAGGTCGTACAGAATACTGCTGGAAATCCTCTTCTTTTTGGAAGGAGTCTTTCCAACAGCAAGCCGATCCAGATGATAATCTGTAACAACCTGTTGCTCCTTGATAGCACGAAAATATTCTTGAACAGAGGGCTTTGGGCGATTCACTCGGGTTTTGAAACCTCTGTGAAACCCCTCGACCATGTTAGAGGTCCGAGGGAACTCCGGATCCTGAAGAATACTGGCGAAATGATTCCAGAACTCTAAAGGATATGTGGGAGGAACCCTCACCTCACTGTCTACAATGGCTGACCCTAAGTAGGTTTTCTCGAAATAATTCACTACAACCATCAACTCAGGATAGTTAGATTGGATGTAGAAAGTTATTTCAAAGAAAGCCTCCTCAACATCAGCTACTGGGACAAAAGCTAAAAAAGCAACCAGCCTTGCGGCTCTCTCAGCTGGGAGGACGAACGAATTCAAGAGAAGTCTTCGACTCGGTATGTTGGGCAGATCCGGAGGCAGAAGGGATTCCATATTAGGTAGCCTGGTAGCGTCTGGTTTACTTGGAGAAGGTAGGCATAACTGTTGATAGAATGCGATACTACTACCTTCTATCGCCCAATATTTATACCTAGAACACTAGATCGGCTCACTCCCCTTGCATGCCTTTGACACGTACGTCTCACATCCTTGATACGAGAACCCCCCCTTTAGCAAGAGCTCCCGTCCCTTATGTGATCTACGAGTCGAGCAGTCAGATCATGTTTACTTCTTAATGTACAGCTATGATTTACAGAATTGACATGTGAACTCTACCCCAGATCTAGCCCATTTCTATGTCAATTAAATTCAATCCATGGATCACATCACTAATTATACGTCACTAATTGAGGACGTGATCTGACCCCTCTTTGGGGGCCGGATCAGTTTCCGGTCCCAAAGTCTCCCAGTGATCTAAATAGGGTTGGTCTTGATGGTGCACACATTATGTGAGCTATTCTAAATTCTAGATGCCATTATTCAGAGGTGTGTCCTCCTCCTCTTTCTGTCACCAAGTGAAGTTTAACGCCTTATCCGGTACCCAATAGTCAATATCTTGAATAACCACACCAAAAATATAGGGGTGGGCCTCAAAAGTCTACCCTTCCTTATCTCTTAAATTGTAACAGCTCGCTGAGATCTCACTAATTATTTTATTTCAGAATGGAAAAGCGCCATAACTTACGTTCTGATTAATATTTTTGCTTCAAATTTTTAGAGAATGTCAATCATAATTAGACACAACTTCTTGTTAAGTTTTGTGTGAGTCTGAGCTTGTCTGACAAAGTTAGCTCCTGAGCGTGCTAGCTTAAATTTCTCACCCAGAACTGTTTACATTGGTTAATAGAAACCACCAAAAAAAATCCTGGGTAACAAAAATAAAAAACCACCGATTTATTTATGTTTTACCAATTCTATTCACCATGATCCATCGCACATTCCATGTGAGAAGAACGATATAAACAAGCAGGAAGGATCATCTGTGATAGTACTTATCAGTTAAAATATAGAGAGAATGGAATGTTCGATGGATCATGGTGAATAGAATTGGTAAAACGTGAATAAATCGCTGGTTTTTTGATTTTTTTACCCAGGATTTTTTTTTGTGGTTTCTATTAACCAATGTAAACAGTTCTGGGTGAGAAATTCAAGCTAGCTCGCTCAGGGGCTAAATTGGTCAAATAAGCTCAGTGAAGCTCGCAATCACACAAAACTTGCCACACAGGTTTAGCTACTTGTTATTATCATTCTGTGAAATTTAGAAGCAAAAATATTTATCAGAACATAAGTTATGCCACTTTTTGTTTTACAAATAATTAGTGAGATCTCAGCGAGCTGTTACAATTTTAAGAGATAAGGATGGGTAGACTTTTGAGGCCCACCCTGTATAAATAATAGTAGTTAGTGTTAGTAAAAAAAGCCAGCACTCATGACCCACCTGCCACCCCTAGAAGTAAGAAGTTTCAGTGTAAATGTTCTGTTTCTGTTGGCTATTATCTCCACGGGGACCGCGTCTCCCTTAGGTCCGATAGCTACAGCCGCCAGTTGTCCGTCTCCAGCCTCCTGTGTGTCAACATCTAACTCTATACTCTCCCCTGCTCTGTGTACCGTGTCTATCTGCAACATCCTGAAATATAGGTTTTTAAAATTTCTGTTTATCCAAGATAATTAAAAAACTCTCATTATTTGTTTTGGTTTCATTGTTTTTTGTTAATATTGCTGCTTCGTTATTACAAAATATGTGGTCGTTTACGGAATTTGCAAGTTTGCTGAACGAATGAGTATGTGGAGTGGACTTTTCCAAAAACCAGGGCGTTTCAACGTGGACAGAGTGGGGAGTAGTTTGGAAAAGAAAACTGTGACGGCTTACAAATCACCAACGTTTCTTATTCATTATTCATCAATAAATCATTTGCTGATCATTGATTACATCACAGTGCACGGCTTAATTATAAGCTTATGTACATAACAGTATAACAATCAAGACTTACTTAGTATAGTGACTCACACGACCATCCTAAAATTGAGTCATGCATGCAAATTCTGCCAGCAAAATAAGTGGGCGGCGCGAAATGCGCGTCTTTTTAAACTCACACAAAGCGCACTGTGACACACTATCAACACAAATTGTTTTTGCGCCCGCGGAGAACCAACTTTGATCTTAGGACAGGAAAAAAAGGACACCATGTGAAACCGGATATTCCTGCACCATGTGGCATTTGGTGAATTAACCATTCCCTGAAATTCCATTGTTATGAAGCTTAACTTCTCACTCCAGGGCAACAGAAGTGGAAAGTGTACACTATGGAATGGTTCGTACTTCGTTAGGAAGTTGAAGTTCACCGCGAGAATTGTTCATCTCCAGGTGTAGGCGATAATTAACATCTTGAAGAGTTTGTCATGATGACAAGAGGTGTTTTAAACCAAATCGAATTATTGCCGACTGATTTATCAGTCTGAACTAATTATCATTATTGTTCAGCCTGTTCGGCAGGCCGCCACATTATTGAAATCTTCACAAATTTGATATTCTGAAATTTATAAGAATGAATCTTTTCAAATAATAATAGTGTTCCTTTTTGCGGCACCTTATATTGTTTTTGTTTATAACAACATTTACATTTTGATTCTATTTTGGTAAAGTGCGTGGGAAGATGTTATGCTGACACAATATCATGTATGCAATATGTTTACAATCTGTTTACATCATTTTGTGATGACACGACAGACAAAAGATACAGGGTGGCCCAGAAGTAACTGCACACACGCAACCTTTCATAAATAACGTAATGGCCGAACAGGCCATTGATTGAGTGAAGAGATCGCTGAATAAGTGCTGAGAACAAGTATCCGCCAGATTTTAAAATGGTCATACTACTAAGCTAAATTGTGAACAATCAACTTATTTTATGACGACAATGCATGAGTGGCGTGCCACACCCACTGTAATCCATGAAAACTTACGAAACTTTCAGGAAAGTCTAAGTTTGAGCCATGTCTACAATCTCTTAAATTTGTGTGCAATTATGACACGAATTACGTGAGTTATTAAAGGGTTGCACGTCGGGCAGAAATCCAACAAACAAACACCAAATAAATCAGAGTACACAACACAAAACAAAGTCTTGACTAATACAGATCTAATAAACAGGTGCACAATACAGGGTGTCACTTTGCAACTTCATAACATATGTTATTATATACGTGTCTTGGTAACTGGTGGATTTGTTACAAGAGTACGCACTGAGGGAGCGGATTGTATCGAATTATTGAACACTTGGTGGATACCCGTCATACTGACAGACTGACCATTCTAAGAGTGCAGATTTTCTGATTCTTTTAACAGAGTGGGGGTTTTTCGTGAAAATTTTGTCGAAATAGGCTTTATAGTTGTTTCAGATAAAGGGAATGATAATAGCTTAATAGGTATTAGCTGCTTTTTGTCCCATGGAAACATATTATTCCTAGCTGAAGTTCACACTGGCCAGAGGTCAACACTTGTGTGTAAAGGTGTAATTGTTGTATCATAATTAGGCTAAATATTAATTAGGCTAATTAGGCCCAGTCCAAAGTCTCATCAGAAGCTGAGAGGAATTGGCAAAGCCCCCTCCCCAACCCCAAACCAGACAGTCTGTGCTTAGCAGATAAATTGCTTAACTGACCAGACTAGAAAGTATGAAAGGTATAAGATCATTCGTTGTCACGTGCACATGATCCTAGACATCGTTAGAATACAAACGACATATAGTCACATACACGTCATAGAAAGGGGCAACGTCTAAAAAGTGTGTTTTTTAGATAATCAAGAAAAAAAGATTTCGGAATAAATAGTTACACTAACAATTAAAAGTACTGGAATTATGTTTTTTGATAGATTTGGGTTCAGAGATGAAACATGGATCAAAACATGTCAATAAAATTTGTCAAGTTTTAATTGCATTTTACAAGAGCGCAACTTTCATTTTAACTTTACGATTAGCGTATGATATATTGTGCTGAAGGTAGAAATATAATGAGTTATTTGCTAAATTGTTTGCCACACTGTTTAACTTGTGAATTATTATACACAAGTTAAACAATGTGGCAAACAGCTGTCAGGTAAAATAATCGATTTACCCAACATCAGCTGAGTTTGGGTCAACTGTCAAATAACGCTATTTTTAGCGATATTTGATTGCAATTTAAGGGAAGATGCTTTTCCCAAAACCAAACATCGGATAGAGTGGACCGTGGGTTGTGTCTCCTGAATTGTAATAAATAACACCGATAATGAAATCGATTGCGTGCTTTTTGAGAGATCAATTTTATCCTAAGTGTCATTTGGGGATGGTCTTTATAGCCTGCAGTTGAACCGTTGAGTAAGCATCCTATAATTTGATTACTTTTAATTAGCACTGCTGTTGTAGATTTTGTCAGTCACACTTGTTTTTATACTTTGATCGTGTTGAAACTTCTTGTCGATCGTATTTCCGGTTTAATCGGCATACAAACAGACGGACATACGAAAACACTACACAAACACCTTGAAGAACACCGAAGACCTGGTATATGAAATTGCCGCAGGTGGATCGGTAGCTAAAGTACCGGTCTACGAAAGTGACCACATGTGACCACGCTATTGTGTACACGTGACCACATGTGACCACGCTATTGTGTACACAAGCCACAACGAACGAACAAGTTAAGTCATGTTCATGAAGATGCGTGATTTTAGGTTCGCCCGAAACTTTATTTCCATATTTCAATGCGCAGCGTATGTCATTACTTTTGTTACGCCTATTTCATATACCAGGACTTAAACTATAAGATAGATAATAAGGTACAGTAAAACCCCGATTTACCGCGGAGTTTGGGGGAAAGGAAACATCCGCGGTAAATCGGGGTTTGCGGTAAATCGGGGACATAGACGGACATGACACCCCCTCATGTCCGTCTATGTCCGCCTATGTCCTGTCCTTTTTGGATTCTATGAGACAACGGACGTGTTTTTTGGGACATTGGCGGACACGGACGGACATTGGCGGACTCGGACGGACATTGGCGGACTCAGACGGACATTGGCGGACTCGGACGGACATTGGCGGACCCGGACGGACATTGGCGGACTTGGATGGACATTGGTGGACATTAGCGGACATTGGTGGACATTAGCGGACAAACATTTTGAGGACTGAAGAGTACTGAAGAGTACTGAGGAGGATGGCTGAGAAGGATGGCTGAGGAGGATGGCTGAGGAGGATGACTGAGGAGGATGACTGAGGAGGATGACTGAGAGGGAGGAGAAGGATCAGGAAGACCCAGGAGGAGGAGGAGGAGGAGGACCCAGAAGGAGGACCTAGGAGGAGGAGGAGGAGAACTGAGGAGGATGACTCAGGAAGAGGAGGACTCAGGAGGAGGACTGAGGAGGACTGAGAAGGAGGAGGACTGAGGAAGAGGACCCAGGAGGAGGAGGAGAAGAACTGAGGAGGAGAAGGAGGACCCAGGAGGAGGAGGACCAAGGAGGAGGAGGACCCAGGAGGAGGACCCAGGAAAAGGCCCCAGGAGGAGGAGGAGGACTGGGGAGGAGGAGAACTGTTGAGGACTGATGAGGAGGACTGAGGACGAGGAGGAAGAGTAGGAGGAGGACTGAGGAGGGGAGGAGGAAGAGGACTGGGGAGGATCAGGAAGACCCAGGAGGACCCAGGAGGACCCAGGAGGAGGAGGAGGAGGGGGACTGGGGGAGGACTGAGGAGGAGGATGGAGGACTGAGGAGAAGGATGAGGAGGAGGACTGAGGAGGACTGAGGACTGAGGAGGAAGAGGAGGAGGATGAAGAGGAGGAAGAGGACCCAGGAGGAGGACCCAGGAGGAGGACTCAGGAGGAGGAGGAGGACCCAGGAGGAGGAGGACTGTTGAGGACTGATGAGGAGGACTGAGGACGAGGAATAGGAGTAGGAGGAGGACTGAGGAAGGGAGGAGTAAGAGGACTGAGGAAGATCAGGAAGACCCAGGGGGAGGAGGAGGAAGAGTAGGAGGATGAAGCATCTAAATGTTATTTCCATTTTTGTCCGTTTTTGTCCATTTTTGTCCGCTCTATTTTTTGTCCGTTTTGAAAATATAGGGTACCGAACGGACAAAAAACATGATCCCCCCTATAACAGCAAAAATTGAACATTTTATTTAGCAATTTAGGTGTCCATTAATGTCCGCCTATGTCCGCCTATGTCCGTCTATGTCCGCCTATGTCCGCCTATGTCCGTCTATGTCCGCCTATGTCCGCCTATGTCCGCCTATGTCCTGTCCTTTTTGGATTCTATGAGACAAGCGGACATAGACGGACGTGACACCCCCCCCTATTAAATAGCGCACCTGCCGCCGGTAGTTTTTATCATAGCACTGGGAGGGAGGGATTCCTCCACGTGTACCAGGAAAGGACTTCCTGGAACCGGCTCGTTGCACCAGTACACGAACAAGTCATGATCACCTGCAGGAATAGGGTGGTTTGTAATGGAGAAATACAATTTGTACAGGTAGTAGATCAAAAGGTAGATCAGTATGTTAACGTTCGGGTTTGACGAAGATTTCTTTTCTATTTTAATGGCAAAGGAATCTTGCTTAACAATTTTATTGGCAGTTGGTCAACAACCAAAGCCTATACTAACAGAATTAACTCGAAAATTTTGGCCGAAAAACTCTTTGGCTCTTGAAACATTGACAACTGTCTCAAATAATCATTATTCCGAAATGAACATCTAATTGAGGACTGATGCTTATTGAGGACTAATAAATATTTTTTTAACTTATGGACAGGCTCAATTCTGCGACCTAAATTTAACGTTACATTTAATTTAAAAGAAGTTCAAGGTTCCATATTTTGGTGTACTTACCAGATTCTTTAGCGATATAAGTTCCCCTGAACTTTCCCTCTGCATATTCCTCGATCTCAACATTAGGATTAGAGTTCGCGCCTGAAATATGTAGAACATTAATTAGGGGGGGGGGGGGGGGGGGGGGGGGGGGGGGGGGGGGGGGGGGGGGGCGTGTTAGCTACCCAATATTATAACCCATTCGATAACGTTTGGGCCAGGGCCAACGGACATGGCGCTATCTAAATGAACATGAACCTTGTGCAGGGGTGAACTTCAACTATATTAGAGCGATCATTCTCGTTTATTCTCTGCTTAATTTGATCAACAAATCCCAGGATTCCACAATTTTGGTGGATTTGAATTAAATGGGCCGATCATGGTCATGCTGCTATCTCAAATAACGTTACGAAGGGGTGGCCAATTCAAAGATGCAATATCTTAATTACTAGCTCAATTTAAGTTTTCACATCCTATCAGTTGTAAAATTATGTTTGTAGTTGAAACTTGAAGAATTATATTGTTGCTTTACTAAGTATGTAACAGGGCGTTAGATGTAAATATATATATTTACATACTTAATTCAGCAACATATATGTGACGAATCTTAAATAAAAAGCTACCAGTACAGAAAGGGTATAAGGGTAATGGTTTTAAAGTTAATGTTAGATTTAGGGTTAGATCAAGGGTTAGGTTTAAAGAAAGCAGCAGTGAGGATTTGGCAAAAACAATTATAAGTATTATATTATGTAGCGTAAGATTCAGTCTTGATTTGTTTCCAAGAAAAACATATTGTCCAGAGTCAATAATATATCACAGGCTGTGGCTTGCATTCTTCGCCTTTGTTTTTGTAACCAGTAGTGTCGATTCCAAAGAGTTGTCACAACCCAGCATTAACGTTAACAACACCTGACAACACCTAACAACACCTAACAACCCAGTATTAACCCTAACAACTATCTTAACACCAGCAGCTCAAACAAGCCCGAGCATGTCCAAATGTGCTAACATGACCTTACAATCACAACTGAACTGCACCAGTCTGATGAACAGTACGGAGAGTATGACGGAGAGAGTGGTGGTGCTAGGGACGTTGCTGGTTTCTACCATTGGTGGGATGATCGGTAACACGGCGTTTCTCCTCCTTGCTGATGTTTTTCTGCCATTTGATAGGGTTACTCTCGTTTTATTTAGGTGAGAAGATACATTATTGAGACCGGTTAAGGGGGGGGGGGGGGGGTTCACCCTGATTTTTTTGTGAAACTTGGTTTCGAGATAGCAGTTGACCAACAAACTAGGACCAGTGACCGAACTTTTGAGGGGGTCCCGGACCCCAACCGCCAAACGTTGCCCGCATGCCAGCCACGCCCATATTTGGTCCAAATTAGGCCCAATTTAACCAAATACCCTGATCATGCCCAAAATCCAGATTTTAAGTGCTCTACTTGTAGCTAGTGGTTCCCTGAACTCGTATATGAATTTTCATCAAGATTGGACAAAAAATGACTGAGTTATGAGCAAAAAACCATATGACCATATTTGGGCATACGCACCAAATTTGATCGATTTTGGCCCATAAATTGGTCAAATATCAATATTTTTGAATGAAACCAACTTTATATGGAAGGTAAGCCTATACTACACATTATCTATGATTATCAGCTCAGTATCTACCTAATTGTGGATTCTAAGTTCAAATAATCGCAAAAAATGAACAAAACTGCCCATATCTCAGTTCGCGATATTTGCAAAACTGACTTCGCTCAAAACAATAGAACTCAATAGGGTTTCAATATTTTTTCATGAAATTTTCAGAATCAACGTAGAATTGTCTCATGACCTTAAGTTTTGGGACAGAATTTTTGGCGGCCAAATTCTAAATTTAGCAGTGCAAATTTTGGAATTTAGCCGCCAAATTTTTTTAAAGGCCTAACTTAAAATTCTGTCTCAAAACTTAAGGTCATGAGACAATTCTACGTTGATTCTGAAAATTTCATGAAAAAATATTGAAACCCTATTGAGTTCTATTGTTTTGAGCGAAGTCAGTTTTGCAAATATCGCGAACTGAGATATGGGCAGTTTTGTTCATTTTTTGCGATTATTTGAACATAGAATCCACAATTAGGTAGATACTGAGCTGATAATCATAGATAATGTGTAGTATAGGCTTACCTTCCATATAAAGTTGGTTTCATTCAAAAATATTGATATTTGACCAATTTATGGGCCAAAATCGATCAAATTTGGTGCGTATGCCCAAATATGGTCATATGGTTTTTTGCTCATAACTCAGTCATTTTTTGTCCAATCTTGATGAAAATTCATATACGAGTTCAGGGAACCACTAGCTACAAGTAGAGCACTTGAAATCTGGATTTTGGGCATGTTCAGGGTATTTGGCTAAAGTGGGCCTAATTTGGACCAAATATGGGCGTGGCTGCCCCGCGGGCACCGTTTGGCGGTTGGGGTCCGGGACCCCCTCAAAAGTTTGGTCACTGGTCCTAGTTTGTTGGTCAACTGCTATCTCGAAACCAATTTTCACAAAAAAATCAGGGTGAACCCCCCCCCCCCCCCCCCCCCCCCCTTAACGAGTAAGCTAGACGATTTAGATGTCGTCTTGTTCGAATTTTTGTTGTATTTTTATCTTTGCTAATAATTAAATATTTCACTTGGCAGGCAGATATCGATAGGAGACCTTGTGACCATCTCTGTGACACTGTTACCAGCATTTCCTACACACTTATTGCGGGACTGGGGGTTGGGAATCACCGTTTGTTACGTCTCTGCTTATGGGTTCCTGGTGCCGTGGCTAGCTAAACTAGGCTTCTCACTCTTCAGCTCCATTCAGAAGTTAATATAGTTAAAATGGTTGCATTTCAGAAAATAAACAGAAGGGCAAAAACTGCACATTTTTGTTTTAGTTCTATATTTGTTTTAGGACGATTTAGAATTTGAAAAAATTTGTATTATTATCTGATAGGATACGTTTTTAAAAGTGTAAAATTCAGGTGTTTGATTTGGAGGCGCCCGCTAAATCAGCTACTGATAAGAAACAAGAAAGTGTTTACAGTGAGCATTATGATCTGGATAGGAACAACTGGATGGATCACATACACTTTACTTGCAAAGTATTGACCGCTGAAATTTATTGGGACAGGAGCGTGTCTAATGTTTGCCAAAACTTTTGGGATGAATTTAGAAATGTTAATGCACGATTTCGCAGTTAAATATCAACTTGCACTTTAAAATAACTTGATATCAGAGAATGTAAAATGTAAATGTTATCTCCTTGCGCAGATTAATAGGTTGGCGATCTTGAGATCGTGGTATTCAACAGGATTTAAAGTTTCCAATTTCAATGATAAAATTAATCGCTATTTTCAGAGTGGAAACAGAGTTCAATAGCAGTATGGAGCTATGTGTGCTATCCTTCAAGGGAGAATACAGGATATCCTTTCTCATCATAATAAGCCTGATCATAATATCAACCATCCTCCTCTTCCTTATCAATTCCTACTGCTGGAGAGTCGTCAGCAATGTGGCTCAGAGGTTTAAAAATAGTTGCTTCACAGGAGGTCATATGTTCCAGAACAAATGTCAACCATACACCAGAGATGAAGTGGATGTGGATAACGAAAATAATAATATTGGTAATAATATTAATTTTGAGGAAAACCTGACCACCCAAATGGCTAAAAACACATCACTGTATGCGACCCCAACGTACAGTGAACCAACCATGATAAACATGCTGAGCGATGAACCTCGAAAACCAGATGCTGAGAGTGCACCAACCTCTCCTCGGTTAGAATCAGGGGCAACATCATCTTTTAGTAGAACAGAAGATGAGCTTACAAGGAAACGAAACAGACTTCCATCACTGAAAGATAGAATAGTAGTGATGGTGGAGCGGGACCTGATAGTGCGGAATGACAGCGTAGTAACAGAGAACAGCACACCACGTACCTCAATGTCCAGTTACAGCCGCACAGTGGATTTATACCGGTACAAGACCGAGCGGGAGAGAAAGGGGAAGGTGTTTTACCGGGGTTTAGTAGGGGTGTCAGGGGTAACCACGGTCTTTCTTGTCACCTGGCTGCCCGTTATGTCGCAGCTCTTGCTTGCTGTGTTGTCTCAGAGTTTCAATATTTCGCCACCCCCATGGCTGGACAAGGTGGTGTTGTTTGCCACGGGGATTGGGGTGTGGTGCAGCTTGTTCGTCTATTGGAGAGTTCGTTGACGCAGATAATACAATAAAACCCAGGTTTATCGTACCCCGATTTACTGTTAACACAAATTTACTGTACCTCGTTTCTTTGCTCTCAAGATGTTTTTAAAAATGTCAACATGTTAATTGTTAGTTTGATATCACGTGATCATTCAAAACAGCTATACGTTTTCTTATCCCCAAAGTGAACGGTAAGTTGGGGTTTCACTGTACATAAATATTAAAAAAAAAGGAAATTATTCGTTAAGTAAAGAATTTGCGTCCTTAAAGAATAAAGATAAGCTAAAGTTTTACAACATCAATAATCATTCGTTAAATAAAAGAGATTTTTTAAATAAAAGAGATTTTCGCTGGTTTTCAAGGCAAGTTCTTCTTATTCTGGATACTGTGTTGAGCCGTACATTTTTGTTGCCTACAGGTTTTCAGCAATATTATGTTTTCATTTTAAACCTATGCTGACTGCCTCCAATCCGACGCGACGTGGAAGAAATTTTTTGAGTTCTGTCACAGTGTGTTTTTCAATTTGGTATCAAAGTATTAATAACGACGAACAGTTATTTTTCTAATATTTTAGAAACGAAATCAATATACATGTCATTAGATTGTATAATGTAATTGTACATGAAGTATAATGTATATTTTATATTATATGTTTCTGTAATTTATTGTTAAAATACTAATTAATTATGCAGTTTTATGCATTTATGTAGCATGTATGTTATGTATTTATTCTTAAACGTAAATGAAAAAAAAATGGTTTGAGTTATATCCTCAGTACTCACTTCATTTAATGAAATCTTAGTAATCTTTGATATTAAAAGCTTCTAAAAAATGTCGCGTCCTTAATAAATTCATGTGGAATAAACGTTCCAGAATTGAATGAGAATATTGCAGCTGTTAATCTCCTGAGGATAGAGGCATACTCAGAGTTCTGGGTTCTGGGCCTTGATGTCAGCTGTAATTTAGCCAGTATTTAGCCAGTATTTAGCCAGTATTTAGCCAGTATCGCTACCTAATGTTTTCTGCACATCAGCATTATTGGGTACTGGATAGAAGGCTGCATAATTCAGCAAATCCAATGAATATGCCCTCAGCCACGCACTATTTATCACAAAGCCCAGGTTGAACTTCTTGTATAACTCCAGTCCATTCCAAACGATTGGGAGTATGTCAAGTGCTGATTGACAGATGAACTATGAAGAAGAGTAAAAAACCATCAGAATAGTAACTGAGACAAGGCGAGACGTTCCCAGGTCGATATCATTAAAAATATGTCGTATATTATTATATCTGGGTGAAATATGTCGTGGTTTTTATCACCCGATGGGGCATGTTTGTGCGGCTTTCCGGTCAGATATTTGATTGATTAACAAAGCTCATAACAATACTACTCTAATGAATAGTGCATACTGCATCACCGTCACAGTTTGAGCTGAGTTGTATTTCACAGAGGATCGGAACTGAATAAATTAAAGAAACTTGATATCTTCACTTCTCACTCCTCACTGTGATATTCTACATTGGTGAAACCTGGTTCACTATATCAGGAGGGAGTTCTGCTACCATTATAATATTAATTTTAACCTCTTCTTCATTGTAATATATTTTAACCCCAGCTCTCGCGTTGTTTAGAGCAGGCATCCGAAATATTTACCCAGAACTAATCAACAATCGCCATTTGCCGATAATGAGCTTTAGTTGTGCAGTTCTGAGTGGACAAGCCCCAGCTATGGTTGACCTAAATAGTGTATTTAAATTAAATTTAAGAAATGTGACTTACCTTGGATATTAGCAGTAAGATGACCTACTCCAGCGGTTTGAGCGTTTACTAAGAACTCTGCTGGCCAACCAGGCCTGGCGATGTGTATTCCTTCTCCTGGGGGGCAACGGTCATTTAACAAGCGTGTAAATAACTTCTGATAGATTCCATCATTCTTTTTAAATTACCAAACAGCTGCTATAATTACTGCTAGTAGATATTGTCAGTTCTATCTTGCTCTTTTTAATATCTTATCATGAGGTCATAAGATACCCAAAATAGCCCAATGTTATCAGCTCAGATATAAGAAAAGCAAACATACCACTGAGATCACATCTAGTAGCTTCTGGAGGAGTAAAATATACCAAAATAAGCAAAAATAAGACTAATTGATAATCAGATGCCATCAAGGCGGTATCCAAGAAGTCTGACCAGAATTCCTCGTGGAATTCTCCGTGAACCCTAACCCTAACCCAAACCATAATCATAACCCTAACCATATTCCACTTAGAGATAGTGGAATTCCACTATCGCATCGGGCTTCTTGGAAAGCACCCAAACCAATGACTCTAAAGCTCTAACAAAACACAGCTGACATACCGCTGACTACACATCTGGTAGCATCAGGAGGTCCCAGAACTACAGCCTTGAAGGGGGACCCTGGCACATGTTGTTCAGCCCACGTGACCGATATGATTAGGTCTATAAACTGGTTAGGAACGTAGGTTACACTGTATTCTCCTAGACCCAGGTCTTCTATCAGAGGCTGTGGAGGGGTTGTATCAAATAATATTATAGTTGTCAGGGAAAGGTTGTTCTGCGTGAGTTGATAATCATAAACGCCCTTATTAGCTAATTACCAATCAACAGGCAGAGATAATGTGAGAAAAAAGTTTTCCCCGTCGAAATGGTTAAACCGGACCTTAATTAACTTAGCAATTTTTAGTTGGTATTCATGAATACTATGCAGTTTATTCCATCTTTTTATTGATTATATATTAAACGTGGTAAGAGGAAAATGTGGTCACGTAATTGATGCTGAGATAATATTGAAACGGGTTAATGAAGTTCTGTTACAAGGTGTTAACGATCATCAAACTGATATGTTGATATCCATACATTGATTAATCTTAAAACCTGGCAAACGAACTTTTCCCACTAGAAAACTAATCTAACTCACGACAATAGGTTCGCTGCCAGGGTTAGATATCTTAACATGCAACTCTCCCACCCCAGCATTCCCTGCATGAACTGTAAACTTGGAAGGTTCGCCCAGGGTACCTCGTGTCAGTCCCAGACCTGATGCGATGCAGCGCTGTGCTGTGTTCTCCGCATAGCCTGATGTTATCTTGCTGTTCTGAGGGGTTTTTGTTGTCGTCAAAATTTAAACCTTTTACTTGCAGTGAGCTTATCCCACAGGGTAATTAGAAGAATAAATTAATATTTGCGGAGTAAATTTTGTTGTCCCATGCAGGCTGGAACTTGCAACCGATAAATTGGCAGTAAGAACATGATGCCATCATAATAATACCACCGACCTCTGGCCCTATGTTCACATATTATCTTGCTAGAACTTAGCGTATTTTACTAAGAAACAACTGCTTTCTCAGTTCTCACCCTAAATTGCCACATGTAAGTAGCCATGTTCAGCTCTGTAATCTCGTGATTCATGAACTCCTCCACCTTTATTCTAGGGAACACTCCCAGCGCATCATACGCGATCTTCAAACCAGTCTTAACATTTTCCTCCGCTGAGGGAACAAGGTGAGTTGTCGTTAAATCATAAAAAACAAGTTCAACAAAATATTATGTAGGTATTGTTCAAAGAGAATATCCGAATCACACCAATTGTCTAACAACAAAAACGTTTACAGCTCCCTTACAGCTCCCCTACAGCTCCCCTACAACTCCCCTACAGCTCCCCTACAGCTCCCTTACAGCTCCCATACTGCAGCTCCCCTACAACTCCCCTGCAGCTCCCCTACAGCTCCCCTACAGTTCCCCTACAGCTCCCCTACAGCTCCCCTACAGCTCCCCTACAGCTCCCCTACAGCTCCCCTGCAACTCCCCTACAGCTCCCCTGCAGCTCCCCTAAAACTCCCCTACAGCTCCCCTACAGCTCCCCTGCAGCTCCCTTACAGCTAGTACAGCTCCCCTACAGCTCCCCTACAACTCCCCTACAGCTCCCCTACAACTCCCCTACAGCTCCCATACAGCTCCCCTACAGCTCCCCTACAACTCCCCTACAGCTCCCCTACAGCTCCCCTGCAGCTCCCCTACAGCTCCCCTACAGCTCCCTTACAGCTAGTACAGCTCCCTTACAGCTCCCCTACAGCTCCCCTGCAGCTCCCTTACAGCTCCCCTACAGCTCCCCTACAGCTCCCCTGCAGCTCCCTTACAGCTAGTACAGCTCCCCTACAGCTAGTACAGCTCCCATACAGCTCCCCTACAGCTCCCCTGCAGCTCCCTTACAGCTAGTACAGCTCCCCTACAGCTCCCCTAAAACTCCACTACAGCTCCCCTACAGCTCCCCTACAGCTCCCTTACAGCTAGTACAGCTCCCATAATGCAGCTCCCATACAGCTCCCCTACAGCTCCCCTACAACTCCCCTACAGCTCCCCTGCAGCTCCCCTAAAACTCCCCTTCAGCTCCCCTACAGCTCCCCTACAGCTCCCTTACAGCTAGTACAGCTCCCATAATGCAGCTCCCCTACAGCTCCCCTACAGCTCCCCTACAGCTCCCCTACAGCTCCCCTACAGCTCCCCTACAGCTAGTACAGCTCCCATACTGCAGCTCCCCTAAAACTCCCCTACAGCTCCCCTACAGCTCCCCTACAGCTCCCCTGCAGCTCCCCTACAGCTCCCCTACAGCTCCCCTACAGCTCCCCTACAGCTCCCTTACAGCTAGTACAGCTCCCCTGCAGCTCCCCTACAGCTCCCCTACAGCTCCCCTACAGCTCCCCTACAGCTCCCCTACAGCTCCCTTACAGCTAGTACAGCTCCCATACTGCAGCTCCCCTAAAACTCACCCGTATCAGGGCTAACATCATCCATATTCTCCCAACTACCAGGTGCCAGAGCCTCCACTAGGTAGGCCAGGTTCACACCGTTATTCCAGTCTAGTGTCAGATTCTCAATACTCCTGGAGAGGTTTTTGTGGTGAGACTGAGGCACAAAATCATTTCTTTCAACATCTATCAACACAAACCTTTCAACATTAATTATTAGTTAGTAGTTCACCTGTGAGGTACTTTGGCACGGAGCCAAAATAGAAGATTGTTGAACAGTTGAGTGTTGAAGCAGCTGACATACGTCATGATACTGAGTTCGTCGACCTCGGGGTTAGCCATGTCGTCTGGAGCTAGCAGAGCTGGGATACTCAGTTCCTCTTCTGCTGTCTGAGGTGAGAGGGTCATTTTTGGTCACAAACAGGGGGAGGTCATTCATTGGCCACGAGATAATAATATGATACTTTAAACGGAATTCAATATAACAATACTTACGGCATTGATAATTGAGCATCCTGAAAGACTAAATGTCTAAGTAAAGTTGTCATGAAACTTAGTAAAACTATAAGCTAACCTGCATAGCAGAGGTGATGTTTTCCACAGCGTTGTTCTCATCTAACAGGTTCCAGTCAGGTATTGAACCAGGTAAGCAGGTTTCAACTAGTGCTGAGAGTGCACGACCGTTGTTCCAGTCCGTCGTGAAGTTCTTTATGTTGGATTCTGGGATCACCGCCTGCAAGAAAGAAAAAAAACCATTATTTCGCCGTAATTAATTAATAGTGTTAAATATTTATATCGTATTCGTTTGAGACTTTTAAAATTATCATGAAACATTAATGATCGTGCTATAAGACATTTTTTGTTTTTTTAATCCTTTCATTGAGCCTAAAATTGTGCATATCGCTATATCGGAAATTTACCTGTATCCAGTCGAGCATGGCTCTTTTGGCGTCTTCAGCTTGTATGTGATATTTCTGAATGAGCATCCAAACCAGTCCTAGTATCAGCTTAACATTGCCTCCCATTATTTCTTCGTTTGCTGAAATCATTGATGTTAGCAATTAATATCCTGAATTAGAATAGAAGTCTGTAAAGCAAATTCATATTCTTTGAAAAATAAAAGATTTCATTTCAAGGATCCTCTAGGATGTCACAAATTTCGCTCTAAATCTCGTTACTATTACGTAAAACAATTAGTACTCCTACTATTAATCTCACTAAACGTGTAAACTCCCTCGCTATAATATAGCGAGGGAGTTATATTATAATAGAAGGCCCACAAAACGGCCCCAGTATAACTGATAGCTAGACTCACAAGTTTCAGTAAACTCCTGATCCACGACCCTCTCCTCCACCAAAAAACCCAAGAAATTCTTCCAGTTCTCCTCCTTCTGCTGCTCCGTCTCGCACTCCTCGTGGTACTTGAACGGTAGCTCTTTCTCCCTGCACACTTCCACCAGTGCTATCAGTGGGGCAGCAGTCTGCAGGTCCCGGACCAGGGACCTCACCAGGGGCTTCTGGGCCTTTACTAGCTTGTTGTTCATCCATCGTATGAAGGTGTGAGCTTGGATACGCGGGGAGTTTTGCATCGTCTGTTTACTTTTTGCAGTGTTGTGATTATGTGGATTCAGAGGGGATACGTAGGGGGGCATTCACAGGGTACCCTGATATTTTACTCTTATCTTTTCAACGGGATTTGCTGGTGTATCTCGTTATTTTTAAAGAGATATTGCGGTCTGATCTATCTTGTTGGAAGAGAGAATCAGAGAATGGAGCAGTGATTTCTGGATCTTCTTGCTAGAGAGCTAGAGTAACGTGTCACACACAGAGATTAACAGTAAAATAAGTTATATATAACAAGCGGTGTAATATATGAAATATATCACTAGTGCACTGAAATCCGGATCAAATTTTGCTAAAATAAGCAAACAAAAAATAAACTTTAGCTACGAATAAATTCTTACGATCGATAAATTAAACATAGTAAACTCAAAAACAAGTGTCCCGTGATAAAGGAATGATTGTAGCGTACTACGTTCGTATGATAATAAATATTAAAGGTAAAAGTAAAATGAGGCTTTCTGATGTTTTAAACAGAAATGTCTCAATATACTGGACTTAGTAGATGATATTGTGTTTTAATGTAAAGGAAGGTTAGTTGCAGCCTGTAGGAAAATTAACACTTGAGTAACACAATCTATCTCTTTAAAAAAAATCTATGTCGGACAGTAATCTGTCAACTGTTATAATATTTTGAATAAAGCTAGAAGCAGTATAACGTATTTATAAGTCAATGATGCATATCTAAAAATTTAGAATATGGAAAATGACAATAAAGATGAACTGGTTTTTTGTACTTGATGATAAAAATAAGCCCTAAAAATAAACCCTCTAGACCAATAAAAAGGCCATAAAAGCGAATGGTAGAAGATCAAGAATGTAACACTGAGTAAAGGAAGTAGAACTTGTCTTCCTAAGCAATAATCAGCCTAGCTTAGCTACAACCTTATTTGGAAAAGTGCCCATTATGTAAACAAAAACTGTGCACAGTCTATGCAATGATGTCGTCATACATGATACTTGTCTACGTTACAACTTCTTGGTGCCTCAGTATGTATAGACCAGGTGTTTAGTATGGTGAACCACCGCATATTATGCTAAATCTAGAGTAAGTTATACTGAACATGAATATTGTGCTAACACTGAAAATAACCACGAAATCTTGTTTCAAGCTACTGTTCTAACTGGCTACATAACAACTAAACACTATAACGGAACGAACCAAAGATTAATCTAAAATACTACTTTATACTTTATCAAAACCACTCCCAGATACAATACCACACAAAATGTAACAGACCGACTTTCCGCGGTACAATATCTTTCATAACAACACAACTTTCAACAATACAACTCAAAGAAACTAATTAAGTTTTCACAGTTCTGAATAACGTCATGAGAAGGTACGGCGTAACGCTCAGCATTCCCGGCACAGACATATATAATAATAATATCTTACAATACAAAAACACAACAACAATAGCGCACACAGCTAACTTTGCATATAAAAACTACATGGGTCCAATGCAATGGTAGGAGTCCGCCATATTGTCTTAACCGGAAGGGAGAGCGAGCGAGAGAGAGAGAGTGAGAGAGAGAGAGAGAGAGAGAGAGAGAGAGAGAGAGAGAGAGATAGAGAAAATGTGTACTCTCTTAGCTGTTAGCGTTCTTTCTGCGCTAACAACTGATATTTTAATGGCCGTGAGTTACACATATCCCCCAGCAGCTACAGTTACAGCTTTATGCCGTGCTAGAGGTACCAATTACGTTGTTGCACAGTGCAAGTGGTCACGTTGAGTGAATTGGGTTCTAAAGAGAGAAAGAGAAAGAGTCTAGGTTGCATGTGCTGCACTAATTTATACCGCTCGATCCCTGGGTTAAGTAGTATCTCAATTGTTCTCTTCATAACATGTTACAGCTTTACAGGCGCTTGTTTCATAACAAGTTACAGCTTTACAGGCGCTTGTTTCATAACATGTTACAGCTTTACAGGCGCTTGTTTCATAACATGTTACAGCTTTACAGGCGCTTGTTTCATAACATGTTACAGCTTTACAGGCGCTTGTTTCATAACATGTTACAGCTTTACAGGCGCTTGTTTCATAACATGTTACAGCTTTACAGGCGCTTGTTTCATAACATGTTACAGCTTTACAGGCGCTTGTTTCATAACATGTTACAGCTTTACAGGCGCTTGTTTCATAACAAGTTACAGCTTTACAGGCGCTTGTTTCATAACAAGTTACAGCTTTACAGGCGCTTGTTTCATAACAAGTTACAGCTTTACAGGCGCTTGTTTCATAACATGTTACAGCTTTACAGGCGCTTGTTTCATAACAAGTTACAGCTTTACAGGCGCTTGTTTCATAACAAGTTACAGCTTTACAGGCGCTTGTTTCATAACAAGTTACAGCTTTACAGGCGCTTGTTTCATAACAAGTTACAGCTTTACAGGCGCTTGTTTCATAACAAGTTACAGCTTTACAGGCGCTTGTTTCATAACATGTTACAGCTTTACAGGCGCTTGTTTCATAACAAGTTACAGCTTTACAGGCGCTTGTTTCATAACAAGTTACAGCTTTACAGGCGCTTGTTTCATAACAAGTTACAGCTTTACAGGCGCTTGTTTCATAACATGTTACAGCTTTACAGGCGCTTGTTTCATAACATGTTACAGCTTTACAGGCGCTTGTTTCATAACAAGTTACAGCTTTACAGGCGCTTGTTTCATAACAAGTTACAGCTTTACAGGCGCTTGTTTCATAACAAGTTACAGCTTTACAGGCGCTGTTTCATAACAAGTTACAGCTTTACTGGCGCTTGTTTCATAACAGGTTACAGCTTTACAGGCGCTTGTTTCATAACAGGTTACAGCTTTACAGGCGCTTGTTTCATAACAAGTTACAGCTTTACAGGCGCTGTTTCATAACAAGTTACAGCTTTACTGGCGCTTGTTTCATAACAAGTTACAGGTTTACAGGCGCTTGTTTCATAACAGGTTACAGCTTTACAGGCGCTTGTTATGAACCTGGATTTGTTAAGACTGAACAAAGCTTCCTTAGTTCTCTTATACAGCTGTTATACACAGCTATCTGTACTGATTATGGCCAGATAATATAGCGTATTATAGTGTATGCCCTACGATTTACTAAGTATATCGTGAACAACCAGAAGCTGAGTATTGAGATATAGCCTCACTTCACAGGATCTGCTGCAGGTATTCAACAAGTTTCTTGTAACTGCAGCGGGGGCCATCCAGTCTTATATGGGCCACCCTGGATTATTCATACATGTAGTTGCAGCCTGATACGAATAACCATCTTATTTAACCGATCGTTAACAATATAAAATATACAATATACATCCAGTCTTATATGGGCCACCCTGGATTATTCATACATGTAGTTGCAGCCTGATACGAATAACCATCTTATTTAACCGATCGTTAACAATATAAAATATACAATATACATCCAGTCTTATATGGGCCACCCTGGATTATTCATACTATGTAGTTGCAGCCTGATACGAATAACCATCTTATTTAACCGATCGTTAACAATATAAAATATACAATATACATGCAAGAAACAGGTAGTGGGTGCCATAACAAGGTACAATAAAAACAGGCGACAGTAATCACACACAGATAGTACAAAGGAAATTAAATAATTTACACGATTAAAATCATCACTACACCAGCTCCTGCTCGTATTATAATCACACGAATAAAAGCAAGCAAAGGGGGGAAAAGAGGAGGAGGAGGAGGAGAACGGTTAAATATATGACGAGGAGAGCAACCTGTAGTAGGTCTACACACTGGACATAATGTAGGTGTGTCGTTAGTGAGGCTATTGTGGGGAGGCAGTGGAGAGAATGACGCGACGGGGAAATCACCATCGTACCACCACTCTGAAAGAGAAGATAGCACTGTACTATAACACACACACACACACACACACATACACATTACACGTGTGGTAGGTGATGAGTATCATGGGGCGGCGTGTCACGTGTTCTATAACAAGAGCCCGGTATGATGGTTATTTATACATAGTGCCCACTTTATAACACATGAATATATTAATGGCAGTGAGGGTGGGGAGGCAGCAGGCGTGGAAACTAAGTGAAACTCAGGTCTCGGACAATCTTACATGAATAAATTCACACGAATCTCACGTGCTGCAAAGTGCAGATTTCATTTAGATGAACTAAGTGAGAACAAAAGAACGCTCAATTTCTAAAATATTTCAAGAATGAAAAACTAAAGGGGGCACTCACTGTCCAAGTTGAAGCACAAACAAAGATATAAAAAATTCAGAAAACTGAATTCAAGTTTTTAAAGAACTCTAAAAATGTAAAACAAAGGGCTCTCCCTATCGGAGTTTAAACACAAACAAACAGAAACAAGTTATCGAAAAAGCAGACGAAATAGCTTACAAAATAAAAATTGGAATACATAATAAAGAAACACACTACAACGTCCGGTCCGTCCTAATGGCGTAGCTGCGTAGATTAAAGCGGAGCTGATGGTATATATATATATATAATAGACAGATGAACCAAGAGTAAGTAACCAGAGTAAGAGAGAGTACTGTAAATATATATATGCTAGCTCCAAGCAGCAGAGCTAATACAATTCTCAGTCGTAGCATAGGTACAGGACAAATGGTTTAATATCGTAATTGTATAATGTATCCTGGATACAGTGTTTAGATTTGAGGGAGGGAGTATTATAAGTGAACGTAAAGTATTTTAAATGGAACGTAAGGCAAGAACTTTCTACTAGGGAAATTTGTAAATTTAGGATTCGATCACCGTGGTTAAGTAAGACAGGTGCAGTCAACAGTTTTAGTTAAATACCAAAATTATACGTTTTGAGATATAACAAAGTAGGTAGGACAGCAGACTTAAATATAACCAATACTGAGTACTGATGCAATGTAGAAATGACGTAAAACTGGAATGACATGTGGCAGCGATCAGCTAATAACCCTGTGGTAACGACCAATCAAATTCGTAAATCGCAGTCACGTGTCTAAACAAATGACGTGACTCCTCCCGATATTGAAGTATATTTTACTTACACATAGCAGTTAAGTTGATCCCTTCAGCGGACATGAATTCAAGAGCAATAGACAGGTTTTCCAGTTTCTGAGCGTTGGATTTGGGAGATTTGTGGTATTTAAGTTGTACACCAGTGAGATATTCCAGTAGGATTAACAGGGTGACTCCACTTTCCAAGTC